AGGCTCAGGAATTAGTGCTTCAAAAGTTCCAAACTTGTGAGCATCGGTTGTATTATTTTCCCTGGCTTAAAAGTGGGATGAATTCATGACTTTTGGAGAGAAGAAATCCTTTGTGAACATAGGTGTTAGTAACTGGATGCTTAAGGTTCAAGTAGAAATACTGACATTACTTATTTAGGAAAGGGTAGAAAAAAGATGCATTTCAATTATAGCATTGTAACTGTGGAAATATAGAAGCGTGAAATTTATATTATAAACACATTGAACATAAATTTCTGAGTCTCCATACTACAAAAGGATTTCCCTTAAATGTTTTTTCTTCAGTAAATCTGGAAATACTTTCTTTGCTAAGAATTTTCATAAAGTCCAGAAACACAAGAGTATTTCAATTGGCTAATGATAACATGAAGGGGTGAAAATTAAGTTCCAAGGATATAAAGAGAATAGAGTAGCTGTAAAGCTTCTGCTTCCACAGTTAATTGACTAGGAACTGTGTTATTGGTAAAGGGTTCACGGTTCAAACCAACTTAAGCTTGTTGTGTTAGCTTAAGTGATTTCCATACGTTTGCTTCATGTAACTCTCCCCTGATGTCAGTGACAATGCACTTTTGGTCCCTGCACTCCCTGGGTCTCTGCAAATGCTCTTTGGATACCTTCTCTGTACCCCATCACTTTGCCTAATTTTAGCTTAAACAGCCTTTTCTGGGGGAAATCTGCCCATTCCTTGGTACTGCTAAATCTTCTTGCTATGACTTCATAAACTCTCTTACTTCCTTTTAGAAACATTATTACACTTTCTCCAAAAAGTGCCAAGTTGTCTAGTTTGCAAGTGTTTATTGAAATTATTGTTCTAATGGCTGTTCTTAGTACACTCTATAACCTCCCAAAGCCTTTCCTTTGTTTCCCTGGATATAAGGACGTCCTCATTATTTCTACATTTTAATGTATGATTTTTTTTTCCCTCCTGGAAACATGACAAAAACAGCTTTTTTCCATAAATTACTAGGGCATTATTTACGTTACTGTGTTTTCATAAAATTCATAAATCATGTAAACAGGACATGTTATGAATTAATTGGTAGATCATCTATCTCTGAATGGGTTAAAGAATTGCCAAGAGTGATCAAGCCGGCTTGCTTTCTGGCTTCTGATATGGTGTTGACAGCCAAGCAAAGAGCTTCTTCCATAAATCCACTCTCATATTCAAGTTTTTCCAGATGTGAGAAGTAATTAAGTCTTTGCATTTATTGAAGCCTTTTATGCTTTTCAAGCGAGAACTGGCAGCTGTGGTGAATTAACTCTGCTTGAGTGTGTGTGTGTGTGTGTGTATGTGAATGTACATATATACAAGCATACATGTGGCATTTGAAATCAAACCTGAAAACAAAACAAAACAAAAAGCTGATTTCAATAAATGCCAAATTTTTTTACAGCTATATTTTATAATTGAGAGAAGAGGGCTTTCTCCAATAATGCTTTTCTCCATTCTATTTCTGCTGAATGTTAAAGAAAGATATGAGGATAATTAAATCATTCTCATCTGTTAAAGGATTTGTTTTTAAATGATAACATGACTCTCATAAAACATAAAATAAACACAATTCAAAGATTTTAACTTCTTAATAAATGAGGATACCAGTAAGAGGTGGCAATTGGTTCAAAGGGGAATTTGAAGACCCACACATAATGAATAGCAAGGAATGCTGAAATGCATTGACAGACAGTTGCAAAAAGGGTCTATCTGCAGGGTAAAAGTGAATTGCTTTTCCCAGGACACAATTACAGCAGTCCCCCTATCTGCAGTTTTGCTTCTGGAAGTTTCAGCTACTGCAGTCTGAAAATAGATGAGTACAGTATAATAAGATATTTTGAGAGAGAGAGAGAAGTCACATTCACATAACTTTTATTATAGTGTGTTGTTACAAATTGTTCTATATTATTATCAGCTATTATGGTTCATCTTTTACTGTACCTAATTAGAAATTAAGCTTTATCTTGGTATGGATATACAGGAAAACACATAGTATGTGTGGAGTTGATACTATCCCTGATTTCAGGCATCCACTGGGGGGTTTTGGAACGTCTCCCCCCATGGATAAAGGGAGACTCCTGTAATTTGCATTTCTATGGATAAGAATCGCTTGCATTGTTATCAGTTTTCAACAATTTATGGCATTGTAAGGTAGTTCAAAGACAATGAAAAAACAACATAGCCTAGAAGGGAATACTAGAGAAGACACCCAGTAATTTTTTTGTTTATGCCAATTTTAAAGTCTTTCATGATTATTCCTGACATACCTCGCACAAAACTGTAGGAAAGGGATACTTTTTTGTGGAAGTCACGCTGTTTGATCTGCCTGACCTTTTGGTTCTGGTTATAAACCACAGATGGACCATTCAGACCGTGGGTTTCTCTCTGTGGTAATGATTACTGGCATAATCATGCTATATTAGCTTCATTGTTATGAAAACTGAACCAGTATCTCAAGTAAGTTGCAAATTTAACCAAATTCTTTTAGTTCACTGGGTACTTATGTTATTAATGTAGACAGTGAATAAGAATACTTCCCCCCCACCCCAATAAGAAGAGTACATGATTTTGGTGCCCAACCACACCCAACCTGGAAATGGTTGTGCTCCAAATTATTTGCAGTTTTTGTTTTTTTCTTTCTCTAAGATCTTTCTAGATATGTAGCTCTCAGTTTGCGTAGGATCTACACTTGTGAAAATAGCACTGTACAATATGAAAAACACTCCATGAAATCTTATTTTAATGGCATAATTGGTAATGTGACAGTTATTCAGGTCTTTGCATTCTTTTGATTTCTAATTAACAAAGAGTAATGAAGTAGCCATTGAAAAGGAGAAGATTGTTAATGAGTGTACATTGTAAAAATAGGTTGGGCTAATATTAAGCAGAACTCTTCTCTTTTATAAAGAAGACAAATTGTCTTACATGCTTATATTTCTTGTTTTATGAAACTATTCCTTCCCACTCATCTGTTAGTAAAGTTCTCTTTTGGGCAGTTGCCAAATGATGAGTAAATATGTGAGGCAAAGGTGAAATAGCTAGGGATTCAACTGAGAAGCAAGAACCTTCTGAGAGATTGTCATAAAAAACAACAAAAAGCAAGCAACTAAAAATGAGTGTGAAAAAAACTATCAATTCAGGAAAACAAATCAGGCAAACTAATTCCTCTCTCATCTAACCATTTAGAATGACTATTTTGTAGTAAGAAATGTCGAGATAATTCTTAAAATAAAAAATTGGTTTATCTCTCTAAGTTTTTCTCAACTCAGAACTGAATCTTGATCTGTGTCAATTATTTATTGTGAATTTTCATTTTGAAGTGATTTTCAACCATGTTGGGGAAAAGAAAAGCATGTGTTCTATCACTATGGGGGAAAAAAGGAGAAAAAAAGTGAAATAAGTAGGAAAACATGGGTCAAAACCCAAGAGATTCTGGTCACATGTAACCTTAAGGAAGCTGAGGACAGTCGTGCACTACATGACTCCGTGTTTCCTTGGCCAAGGGCTGGGTCCCCAGGGACTTGAGTTACCCACTCCACAGTTGCTATGGCGATACATTTGTTTACACATAAACACCAAACTATGAAACGATGGGAAATCTTCTGTATTATTAATATAAATGCACAATCTTTAGGCTGTCAAGTTGTAGGAGGCCCTTCTTGCCTTTAAAAAGATAGTGATGGCACAGAATCTCACCTTTTCAAACGAGAAGTCTCTTTGGTAACAAACGCTTTTCATGTAACTGTGTACCTTTGTTGGGTAGTTCAGAAATCTTTTTGAAGTGCTTTCTTTTTTTTAACTTTTGCCAATTCAGTTTTTCTGTTTAACTCTGGAGAATTAGAGACAGAGAGGGATTGACTAATTTGCTCCAGAGGATATGGTAGAGCCAGACCTGGATATTGAAGGTCTAACTGTAAGTGATGTGATTCCTATTTTGGTCTCATTCTGTATGAAGGCATGGGTTAGGGACTAAAATCAAAAAGGTAGAAAGCATAAATGAAGTGCTTAATAAGTAAAAGGGGTTAACAGCTATACAAATATTCCCTTTTGTGGCACCCCAAGGCAAAAATATCTATTCAAATACAACATTAAACTTGGCTTAAAAAAAGTTGATAGGGGATTTTGAAACATGTTCACTATCCGTATTATTTCCCATGTCAGGTTGTAGAGGTATTGACAAGAGAACTTGGCTGTGATAAAGTACAGGGCTTTACATTTTCCAGAGAAAATGTTATATGAACTTTATATTATAACTTATAGGTGAAAGGAAAAAAATATGCATTCAATCAAAAGTAATGGTGTATCTAGCTTGCCAAACAATCCATTAAAGAGTTCGTCCTGCAAGTCTTGAATGATGAGTTTTTTAATTTCCTACCTTTTCTTAGCATGAAGTGTGTTTCATTCACCATTGCATCTCTAACAGCAAGCAGGGGACCTGGCATAACAGTGTTTATTTGTTTAGTTAGGTTCTTTTTTTAAAACAATTTCATTATTTTTATTAACAAAGTCTCATGTATTGATTAAGGTATTGGTAGTTGGAATATTTTCTAGTTAGGTTCTGATCCTAGTATTGCATTGAATAACTTGCGAATGAGACAGATAATTAATTTTTCTTGGCTTTCCTTTTGTCCTCTATAAAAGAGCGGGCTTTAAGTATACTGGTTTCTTAAGTATGTCTCTGGCTTTGAAAGTCTGATTCTGAAATCTCAAATGGAAAATCTGTGGGCACATTGCACGTGGTGTTTGGTTTTGCCTTCAAAACTTTGTGCATTAAATCTCAACAGCTTATTCTCTTGCAGCACAGTGGCGAGTCCGTAAGAACTTATCACATGATGGGAAATGAGAAAATAATTGCCGTTCAAGCCTGACGAAGGTCATTCACCATGGGAAATAGAACCCACTCTGAGCAACCCCAGTATCGTCGCCTCAGGCGCAAGCCAAGAGGTGTGTCTTGGCAGTTTGGGCAAGATTTTCTTTCTATGCTTCTAGAAGTTTGTCAGAAAAGTTTATAGTGATTGCTCCTCTCTGTTTCCAAATAAAGATAATGTAATAGATTTTCTATGGAATATTCGAATAATCTTTTAGCAGATTTAACAGAAGAATGTTAGTTTTCTAGGGTATTGGCTATCATTAACAGAGACAGATTAGACTAGATAAGATGAGATGAGATAGGATTCATGTTTGGGGAATGCTGAGTTAAGTCTTCTTAGCCCTCCTAATGTGTCAACATGCCTTGTGAATCTTCAAGTAGAAGGGGTAGAGATTAGGATACAGGATTCTCAAATGTGTGTTTAAGAAATTCACTTTTTTCTCCTACAGAGAAGATTTTATGGCACTTTTGCCTCATGAGACACAATTTGAGAAATAATCTATACACAATGACTGTGCAGAATTTTTTTCTTGTCAGGATTTTCAGTTTAGGTAAGGCCAAAGCAATTTTTAAAAAATAAATAAAAACTAGATTTGATATTAAGATTAAACAGTATTATACTTGGGTACTTAGAATGATGTGTTATTTTTAATAAAGTTATATTTTATATAATTAATTTTATTATTCACCATAGGGTATTTTTTATGTCCAACACTGATATTCTTTGGCTTGGTAAAAATTAATTTACCCAAGGATTTAAATAACCAGATTAATAAATTGTGAGTTGTATAGAGTCTTCAGATTGCCTAAATTGACATTAAAAGATTTGTTTTGAGAAATACATTTTTAATCATATAACCAGTGACACATACCACATTATAAATATTCTGATAGTTTATTTTTACAAACTTTTCCAAGTGTGTGGCACATATTGAGACATATACAAATAATTAACGAATTTGTAAAAATGAATACAATGAGCAGAATTTTAAAAGGATGATTATTTGGAAACAGTGATGTTTCTAGAATTCTTAAATGATATATCAACATATGTTAACTGCAACTTCTCGTGCTTAATGATGTTTACAATTAATATAATTCGGTACTCACCAATATAAGATTAACAGTCATAATTAACTCAGAATAGATTCTTTGAAGTGGTTCAAAGGGCTTTTCGTACTAAATTACTAGCCTCTAATCAGCTAATATAAAGGGAGTATTTTTTAAGATGTGAGAAGTACGTGTGTGTTTCATAAAACATTTAATTTAGGTTAATGAAATGAGTTTGAATGATCCGGATTCACTGTACAAAGTCAGAGATATACGTCTGACATTCCAGCGAAAGCTTTATTTAGATGGAGTTGAGCAATCTTTGAGATAACAGGCTTTGGACTGTGATATCTTGAGTGTTATAGTTGAATAGTTTCCCCAGAATCTTTAAGTCCTTTTCAAACTATTTTATGAATGAATTGAATTAATGAAAGATAAATACATTTTCTCTTTTGGATTTCTTAACTAATTTAGAGAATGTTGACTTCAGAGGTTCATAGAATCAAATTTTGCATTTGAGAAAATGTTATTTCCATGTGCGAGGCTAGCCCTGGCAAGCCTCTGGGATCCTGTTCCATTCACTCAGGCACTGGTGAGATAAGGAGAGTGAAGTGTGAGCTAAATAGGGGTGAGTCTTGGGCAAGGTCATTCCTACCCAAGCACTGCAGACACCAAGCTCTCAAGGGAGCTGTTGTACATAAAAAGACGCTACTCGGGTACATTTTCAAAATATAAATACTTTGAAAGGGTAAAAATGAGGGTCCCTATATTAGAGGATGTAAAAGATGAAACAGAAGAGGAAAAAACAGGGGAAGAAGAAAATGCAGAAGACCAGGTAAGTGAGAAGGGGTCTATACAAGAATAGTATTTGTTCCTCTAAATCAATAGTGAGAAAAATACTCCTTTTCCTTTTTTTCTGAACAGGTCTTCTTTAAGCCTGTCATTGAAGACTTAAGCATGGAATTGGCCAGAAAATGCACCAAACTCATTAGTGATGTAAGTGGCTTAAGTAAATTCTGTCTTATTTTGTGTTGCACATGTGGTACTATGAAGTTAGAAAGTCATAGAGCCGGGGAGAAAACCCTGAAATCATCTCTTCAAAAACAATTATTTTCCAGATCATAGAACTAGGTTCAGAAATGTTCAGTGATTTCCCCAAGGTCACCTAGACAGGGAATTTCTGCTAGAGCAAATTTCCTCATTCTTAACCCAGAATCCTATCTCTTATGAATTTTGCTGTCCCTCTGGCATGAGATCATAAGGCATTGAATTGTAATACATATTCTATTTGAGAACCCCAAAGACTTTAAAATTAATATAATGATGTAATTTGTCTCAGGAGGATCTCTATCTATTATAAATGAGTGATTTTTAACATTTGGGTGACCTTTTGAAGAATCTCATGAATGTAATTGTTTTCCAAACCAGGAAAATGCATATACCTATATACATATGATAATTAATTTACAGTTTGGGATTTATGGATTACTGAACTACATGATACACACACACACATACACACATGTATATATTTTATGGTAAATATGTAAACTAGAATTCTAGAAGTACAAGGAAAAGTATTGCTCACTAGGAATGAGAATTTAGATGATCTTCATTAGCAATTGAAAGAGAATTGCTTGTACAAAGGAAAAGTGGCTCCTATAAAGTGAGTATGTGTCTTTGTCTTCATTTAGAGACATGAGCACAATACTGGTTGTTTCTCTTGTTGGTAATGAGCAAAGTGATTGGGACATTTTATAATCGCTTGTTTTCCAAGAAAGTCAATCCTGTGCTGGGGGGCAGAGTGCTCATATGTCCTCTGAAGTCAACTTGGCGTGGGTTGACTCAGCTGTAACCTTGGGAAAGTTCTGCAACCTTGCTGGGGTCAGTTCCTTAGGTGTAACATTTGTAGTAGGAAGACTAAATAATGCTAACACATCTAAAATGCTGAGTAAGCCATCTGGAACATTGTGGGTACTCAATAAATGTTAGCTGTTATTAACTATTGCATCTGTGACTTATTTTTTAATCCATCTAATCATGTTTCATATATGAGGCTGTGTTCCCTTCTGGTTTGTCAGTAAAGAGCCAAAGGCTGGTGGTGAGAATCATAACCCTTCCCATCTACTTCACATGAGATGTAATGAAAATTTAAATTAATAATTTCTTTGTGCTATTACTTAATAATCATTAGCTACTGTATGTGAAAGTTCTTTGTAAACTGCAACAAGAATAATGAAATGACAGTGACAACAGCAGCAATAGCAGTATCAGCAACAATTAAGATTTATATGCCAGGCATTGTAGCTCGAGAAGTAGGTTCTGTTCTTTTGCCCATTTTGGAAGTAAAGAGACGGAGGCACAGAGAGGTTAAGCACTTTGCCTGGGTCACACAGTGAAGTAGAGGGAGTAGGACTTGAACACAAAGCCCTTTCTCTTTACTCTGCTGTGTAATCTCTCACTGTAGATTTCCACACAAATTTTATCTTAGCTTTATTATCATTTATTATGCTAATATTAGTAAGCCTACCATTTAAATTCCTAACGTGGGGGATAATACCACTTCCAGCTTTGATATGTCTTTATTGAAACATAATTATAACTGAGCTAAATTGTATTATGTAAACCATTTGTTATGGTTTACATAACAATGGTTTACATTTGTTATGTAAACCATTATGTTACCATTAAAATGGTAACTACAGTTAGTAGGCAATTTTGTTGCAGTTGTTTTGGACAACATTGTTTATCAGTGACTTTAAAACCAACTGTGGTGAGAGGTGATGGTCTTTGTCATTTTGCAAAAGCCAAAGTCCTGTTATTTCATGCCACTGTAGGTAAAATCAAACACACGGCATAATTTCTGTTTGCTATGGATTTATGTTGCATGGCAGAATATCCATACTATCTAAATATTTAGAACATTATTATTATGTCTTAATTTATATCTGTGTACACATTCACATTCTGCTTCCAAATACAATTCTGTACTACCTAAGATACTTGTTTAATTTTTAGAATTTTTGTATTTACTAATAGTCTGAAAAATTAGTCTTTTTGTTTCTAATGAAAGTAAAAAGAGGAATTTGTACAATTACCTTAAAAACAAGTTTTAATTTGTCCTTTCTGGAAGGACATGGCATATTGGACTAAATGAAAATTTGTAGTTTTTTAAAAGTGTGGTTAAATAGTATTATGAATGAATAACTTACTTATTCTTTCTCAGTGTCATCAGTGCTTTTATATGGAGCACATGAACTTATATTTGAAATTCTTGTCCCTCTTATATCTTCTGTATGGCTAGTTGGTTGTCTAGAATGCATTAGTTGTGGAGCTAAAACAGATATAAAAATTGGTGCACTGCCATGCCAAGTGAGACTGAGTCTGGTCAGACCTGTCTGATGTTTCCAATTGAGCCCATTTGTTAGTGACCTTCACTTAATGTAGTGCACCATTTCCCCCAGTCTCAAACTTAAATTTAAAACCAAACCTTCAAGTATGTTAGTTTTGTTTTATAATCCACATGCCCCAGCAGAGCATCCCGGTCCTCCTTTGCAGACTCCTCCATCCTGAAGCTTAATGAAGCAGCCTTGAAGGCTGTCGATCAAGTCCCACTGCTAGTGAGCCACAGACCTGGAATGGAACATGAGGTCTGCCTGAACCTCAAGCCTGGGTGATCAGGTTGTCCTTCCTCCCATGAGGTGTTCCAAGCCCCCCATGTACATGTTTATATTCCGTGCTGCAGCGAGCCTGTGCTATGGTCCTATGAGCCTCAGTTCACAGGTGTCACCTGGAGTCACTTCCCACTGTCTCAGGTTTTTTTTTTTTATGAGAAGAGTGATTTCATGGGTTTCTCTTCACAAAGCAACCTTTCTATTTTTTTTTTTTTTTTTTTTTTTTTTTACACAGAGCCTCACTCTGTTGCCCGAGCTAGAGTGCTGTGGCGTCAGCCTACCTCACAGCAACCTCAAACTCCTAGGCTCAAGTAATCCTCTTGACTCAGCCTCCCGAGTAGCTGGGACTACAGGCATGTGCCACCATGCCTGGCTAATTTTTTCTACATATTTCTAGTCGGCCAATTAATTTCTTTCTATTTTTAGTAGAGATGGGGTCTCACTCTTGCTCAGGCTGGTTTTGAACTCCTGACCTTGAGCAATCCTCCTGCCTCGGCCTCCCAAGGTGCTAGGATTACAAGCGTAAACCACCACGCCCCACCCAAAGCAGCCTTTCTAGATGTTCTGCACTGCTGTAATTATTTCTCTTTAGACCTTTTCTAACCTTCATACATTCTTACTGGGGTATAGTAACCACAGCTGCGTACAGCAGTCCAGATGCGGACGGCCTGGGTAGGATGATGTTTTATGTTGCTTCCGGCACCCTTTGTGATGCTATTTAGAGCTTCCTGGACGTGGGGGCCACAGAGAGCTGTTAGATCAATCTCTGTAGAACATCAGAGCCATTTTCAGTCCTAATTTCTGCGTCTAATAGTATAGGGCCCATCATGTCTTAGCAGCCCTTTGGATTGTCTTAACCTCACTAGGGAGGAATCTAATCTGCAGTTTTCTGCCCTCTCGCCTGGCCCTTTGAGAGCTTCCAAGGTTCATCTCTTTGCCATTTCAACAGTTTGCCCTTTCCCTCTCTGAGACAGCTTGGGGTTATCAGAAGACCCACGGACTTTGCTGTATCAGTCCCTTGCTGGACAATTTATAGAAATGTTAAGATTGGCCCAGACAGCAGTCCTGGGAGGCCTGCACTGTTTAAAATTCTCTAAAGAGAGAAATGTCAGCTTTTCAGGTCAAGTGGCGGCTTCACTTTGGGGATCAGTATAAGACATTTTTCTTTTTCTTTCTTCTTCTTCTTCTTCTTTTTTTTTTTTTTTTTTTGCCTCACCTAGTTTTTGCTTTGCATTTGCTCTACTCATGTTGTGAGGTTTCCTTCTGCAGAACTTACTTCCCAATCCTGAAGGACACCTGGTCCTCCGAGGCAGCGTCTTTTATTTTTCTATTAACCATGTAACACTTTTTGTTTCTGCAGTAGACTGTGTCTTTGGTATTTAGTTCTGTTAGTCAAATATGCAATCAATTCCGTGAATAAATTAAATCCGTCCACTCTATTGAGCATTCAGAATCATTAATCCAGTAGCTTTCTGGTAGCTAAGTCACAAACAATATTGGGCAAAAGGGAATCTTCAATGTGTTTCTTGTAAATTAGGCATAAAGAGCCTTCTGCAGAACAAGTTTGGCTGCATCTACATGCAGCCTCTGACTCAGTGTTTTGGTTCGGAGGTTTTTAGTGTGTTCATTTGCATGGCAGCAGGAAGGACATTTTCCAGGCAAATGAACATTGTTTGTTGTGGGTAATCCTTGTGATGCTGAAAACATTAAATTCTGTGGTTCCCCCTTCAGAGAAAGCTTGGGCAGTATCAGAAAACCTGAGAGAGTGAGCTTGCCTACCCGTGGCCCAGTTAAAAAAATAGTGATGGAGCCACAGTTCTTTCTTCCAGGGTTTACTGGATTTAACTGGTATGATTTCACTTGTGAAGAGACTTTCTAGATACTCTCAGTTAAGAATGCCTGTAAACGGAAATATCCTGCAACACTTCCACATCTGTCATCCAGTTCCAGCCATTAGCTAATCTCGTGCTCATTGAAAGAAATTTGAACAGGAGGAGGAAGCAACACTGAACTAATTTAACCCTAATTATGGTTGAGACATTGTGGGGTAAGTGGGCAAGGTCAAAGGAGAAGGCGAATGTTGGGGGCATCTTAATGTTCAGAAAGTCATCAGCTTCCTCCCCCCCTCCCCTGTTTTTTTAATTGAAAATACATTGGATTGTGTATTGGTTGAGTGCAGATAGCTGCAAGAACAGGAACACACAGGCAACAGCTTAACAAATAGGTGTTTGGTTCCCCCACCCACACCCACATAAAGCCTGGAGGTAGGTAGTTCAATGTCAGTACAGTGGGTGTTATTAGTCTCTCTGGCTGCTTTTGTTGTGCTCTGCCATTATAGATAGTGTGGTGGCTTATTGCCTTGTGGTGACATCATTGCTGCTGCCCCCCTGTGACTGGGGAAGGAAAAAGGAAGAAGAGCAAGTGTCAAAAGGCTGTGCAAAGTGTCTCCCTTTATCCTAGAAACCACTGCTGGGAAGACTCCCGCCAGTCTCTCGTGGCCAGAGCTGGACACCTGGCCTCCCCAGACCAAGCACCAGCCAAAGAAAATGGCATGACTGTTCCTGCTTTAGATCAATTTGTTCTCCTGGGCTGGGGTAGTCGGGCCTGGCTACTCTCATGAATACATTCAGGTTCTGTTTGTAGGAGGAAGGGGAATGGCTTGGCAATCTATCCAGTAGATGGTGCCAACCTTAGGTTGTAAGATGTAGATAGGGAATAGCCATCTATTCCATGATTTTTGTTTTACCTAAGATTTGCACCATCGATGGATACAATTCTCTTTCACCCATCATTTCCTGTTATCCTGGTATAGGAAGGCTACTAATATATACATTCTTTATTTATATAACATTTAGGATCATTTGCTTATTGTCATTCATATACAACTCATTCGAAATCATATACATATCTGTATGTCTCTATGTGTGTATGATTTTTAAGAAATTATATAATACGAATGACAATAAGCAAATGATCTTCCATTTTCAAATGCATCTTAAATTTAAAGATACAAATGTCATATCTTTTTAATAAAGACCAAAGAAAGAAATGGAGTCCTCAGTTAAGCCTGAATTATGTGCCTGCCTAGCAGGGGAAGTGAATGCTTCACCCTTCTCCAGGGCTGCTGTCCTGAACATTCTGTTTATGTCAGACTTTATCAGGAGGCTGTAGCCACAAGCACATACCGCCATGGTGGAGAATGTGACTGTGATGAGGAAAAGATGGTGGCAGGAGATAAAAATAATGAGTCAAACTTAAGCCTGATGATAGGTTATTTTCTCTCACACTTAATTATATAACTGAGATACTTTTTTTTTTCTCCTTATGATCAAAATAGCCTACTATTTATCATACTGCCATTAACAGTTTAATTACTAGTGACGGAGGAGGGTGATTTGCAGGAACCTAAAATTATGGCTAATCTCTGAGAAGGAAAAAAAAGTAATTTAGTGCTTGGATAAGATAAATATGTTCTCATGTTGATTTCATGAATAAAGCAAATGTTTAATGTGGTAGGCATCTGATATCTAAGAATCACAGCAGTGAAATATAGCATTTTGAAATAATTTTACTTAATCTCTTCGCATGTGGGTCTACCTCGGGTCAAGAGATGCCCCTCGAATCAGGTTTGCATGAGGGAAAATCTCCATGTCGCATTAGTGTGGCACATCAATGTTAGTGATGTCCTCTGGGAACCTGGTCATGTGTTCAATTCAACTTCAGTTTTGGGTTATAATTAGGGAGACCATGTAATTTATCATCTGAACTGGGGCCCTTTTTTTTTCAGCTTAAGAATTTATGGTCTTGGGGAGATAAACATGACTTCATTACAGGGCGACATAACTTATAGCAAATTACCTCCATCTTCTCAACCGGTCATAGTGTTGCCTCCCTGGTTTTAGATTGTGCAGCAAATAGTGTGACAGTGTGATTCATTCTAGATCTTTCTCCACATTTCCCGACTTCTTTTGGGCTCCCATGTCCATGCAGGGTCTTCCCCCAGAGTAACAATTCTGGCTTCTCCTCCAGGTGAAGGAAGTGACTCATGTTACCGGGGAGTTTGAGAGAAGAAGTGAGCAGCTTAGTCAGGCCTCTCTGGGCCTTCTCCTGCTATTCTGCCTGTCCACAGCTGGGGGGGGGGCGTGGTGCATTCTGGAATGATCTCTGCAGGGGGTCAAGCTTTCTGGGCAGGTTCTGCTCTTATTTCAGGGAGGGGAAGAGAGTGGGGGAGGTGCTCATAAATTGGATAAGTTTGATTAGGAGGGAATCAATTAGTAACAGGAAGCCCATCATGGCCAACAACTTAAGCCCCTTCCTCTAATCAAGCGTGTATAGATAATAATGTTAATAGTAATCTCTATGTGTTTAATTTCTGCTTCTGCTTCTGATTGATTACATCTTTCCTGGTGACTGTTTATTTTCTACCTTGAGGTAGGCAGCTGTGTGTCTGTTTGGCCATAGGCTTAACTGCTAAGGCCTGTGGCTCAAAAGTGAGAATAAACTAGGACATTTGTGAGAGTGAGATGGCACGTGTTTGACAGTGACGCTCGGGAAGCTGGGCCAAGAGGACCCGTCATCTGTGGCCCCCCATCTCTGGCGTTGATCCTCACGATAACTGGACCTTGCTTATCTAAAGACCAGCCTGTCCTCACCGGGCCCCCGTCACCTTTGCAATTCTGAGCTGGATATCTGTTTATCTGACTTGGCTAGCTTTGAGGATCATTCCACATTTGAGTATTTACTTCTGAAAATGGACTTTCTCATCTTAATGCTCTCTTCCAAAAAGGCCATTAGAATTTCTTTTCTTTTTTCTCTTCTTATGTAAATTATTCTCTTTTCTAGATCCATTATAAAGAAGCGTACAAAAAGTCTAAGGACAAGTGTACATTTGTGACGGACACTCCTATGCTAAACCATGTAAAAAGTATTGGCGCTTTTATTTCTGAGGTAAGGTATCAAAAACTTGCAAACTGGCTTGCATTTTTCTTTTTCTATTTTTATAGAAAAAAGTGTGTGCATTTGAGTTGGAGCATAATATTTTCAAAAGCACCAATGAATGTGGGTAATATTTATGTGATTATCTCATTCAATGCACTGTGTCAATTAACCCATATAAACTGATATATTTTACTATATATGGTTTATATATTTTATTATATACATCTATATTTTGACTCTAGCCCTTTCTTAGTTATATAGAATTCCTCTTGAAAGGAATATTTTTATTCAATAAGTAGAAAGCACGGGCAGAATAGTTAATTTTAGAAGTTCTATTTTTTTTTTCTAATAGACTTATTAGAGACAAACTATTGAATGTCATTTTGGAAATAAGTAAGATTTATCAGATTTCAATAAAATGTAACATCTTTGATAAACAATTTTAAGTTAATTTAATCTATTTTTGAGCAGGATAAAATTCAGTTCACCAGAGATACCCATTATGAAACCACGGAGTGAGAAATACACTATATTCATTTTCCAGCTGAAAAATCATGTGATCTCTCTCCGACAGCATTTCGGACTGACTGCAGTTTATGTTGCATTGTAAAGCACAGTGTTAACAATGATTGCTATGATGAGACATTTCTGTGGTCTGTGAATAGATCACTTAGAAGAGATAAATTTGAAAAAGAGAAGGAATAAAAGTGTTGTAAATGACTGACCTCTAGTGTTCTGTAAATTATGTTGGAGAAAGATCCATGTATTATTTCTGCTAATATGAAACAATTTTGAGGGAAATCAGTACATTTTATTTTATTAGGTACCAAAAATCCAAAGAGTGTGGGAAGAGAAGGTTTGCACAGGGTATATGCTAATAAATAAACACTCGCATCTAGCTTAGAGTGTGAGGAATGCTGAAGACTTGTCTACACAGTATGGAAGAACACAGTTTTGTTTATTTGTGTTAGCTAGGTTAGTTCTCCTGTGCAGAGAAATTCTTGATGTTCTCAGTTATTGATTATTTTTCCTGAAGGAGTTAACTACAGAGTGGAAAAATTAGAAGTGGGTGATCTATTGTGTTCCCTTACATCTAGTTCTCCCAAGAGGAAATGGTGAATGAGTGTTTGTCTTACTGTAATGATTGAGATGGTTTAGAGACAGGGCAGATTAGGGGTGAGAAGGCACAAAAGGAGAGAAAAGCACCCCACCTCCCAGTGTAATCTGAGAAGATTTAAATAAAGGAATGTTGTCCGTTGTGTTCAAGTTCTAGACAGCAGTTGCTAACGACTCGTATTTTCTTGCACAACTCAAATGTCTTACTGTTCTCAGATCGTTTGCTCCCTCATCAAACGTGAAACTGTCAATACCACACAAATAGGTTTGCATTTAGAAAACTGCTTGGCTTTAAATAGAACAATAGAAACTATGTTCTTGCCTGTCTCATTTATAGCTTTCTCCAAGAGAAATTGGATTTATTTCTATCTGTTCGGAATATGTTTGTCAGCTCCAGTATCTAAAATTAAAATGGTCTGCAGATTTTTAAATCAATTCTGTTTCTGAAGAAAGTTTCTTTTTATTTTCTTTTTATATTCACAGTAAAAAAAAAAAAAAAAGGAATATTTATTTTTTTTTTCTTTTCTCCTTCCCAGGCAAAATACAAAGGCACCATTAAGGCAGATCTTTCCAACTCTCTTTATAAGCGGATGCCAGCCACGATTGACAGTGTTTTCGCAAGAGAAGTCACACAGCTTCAGAGCGAGGTGTGGTTTTCCTAGATTGTTATATGATTGTGTAGATGAAATACATAACCTGATATAAGTTATTTATTATTTTAATAAAATGTTTTTTTTCTAAGGCATTAAACGCTGAATGAAAGTTGGAAGCAACTGGTTAATGTGTGATCATAGATTCTGGTGAAATTGTAGAAAATGAAAAGGACCTGCAAGTTTATGTCAGTTACTTGATGCTGTTTTTCCATTTCACCGCTATTTATAGGGCAAATTTTAATCTCATTTAGATAGCTTACATAGGTGAAATTCTTCTAAACTATTCTATGATTTAACATATGTTCCCAAAGTGGAAAACATTTTGATAGCTCATTAAAAGTCACATAAAGAGATAATGGTTGAATTTGGGATCCACATGTCTGCGCTCCATCAGTTAGACAAGTGGTTCCTGAATATCCTTTCCTGTGGCTTGTGTTTTTCATTTAGAAGATCTCAGGCTACCAAAAAAAGCCTCCATGAGGTGGAAGTGGCTATTTTGGTGATTGCAAGTTGTAGATGAACTTAACTGTCCTCATGTAAACTCATTTTGAATCCAGAAGAGTTTGGGGTAATTTTCGCTTTGTAGTACTTCGACACATAAGGTATTCTGAATGCATTTAATCTATTGCATTTCTCAAACAGAATTTCAAAATGTATATTTCGGACTCATAACCATAATAACCTTTTTCTGACTCATCTTCTTATTGTGCTTTCTTCATAGCAGAATCTGATTATTTTGTTGTTGTTGTTGTTGTTGTTACTTTGTTAATCTGTTACTACATAAGAGCAGGGACCTCATCTTGTCCTGTTCCTCTTTCAACTCCTGTATTTGGGACAGTCCCTGGAACATAGAGGGTGTTTAATAAATACTTGTGAAATGGATTTTTGTTGAGTTTATTGATTTCCTTTTTAAGGATATGCCTCCTTTTGGATAGTTGCTATTCTTCGTGCCACATTTTAGGTTAATAAAAAAGTAAACACATAGAAGTGCTTACTATGTGTCAGGTGCTGTTCTCTGCATTTCACACATATTTATGTTATTTAGTCATCACAACAACCCTGTGAAATATCCCCATTTTAAAGATGTGGAAACAGAAGCACAGAGAGGTTAAGTAACTTATCCAAAGTGGCATAGCCATTAAATGGCAGAGTCAGCACTGAAACATAAGTAGCCTGGTTCCATAATCTGAATTCTTAACCACACACTATCCCATCGCTCTGCTACCATCTGTACCTTTTTCTTATTAAAAAATGTACTTCTTCCCCCAGAATCTTGTTACTTTTAAGTAGAAGATACCTAGATACTTTTATTTAATAAATAGTCTGAAAATAGATTACTCTTGAAAAATACTGGGCCTAGTTATCCTTTGGAGAACATCATTAAGTAGTTCATTATTACAAATTTAAACGTCCACTGTGTACCCAACTTGGCTGTAAGCTAATCTCAGTTATGCAACGTGAGGCTAAAAATATATGATGTCAAGGTTCTGCATGGCTGACCGTGACTAATATGTCCTTTATTTTTCTTGCCAACATCTGGTCACCTAAACACTTGCTGATAATATGGGCTACTTTAAAAAGCAGATAATTACAACACAACACTTGATATGTGACTAGCAACAATTATGCAATAAAGAAAGAAAATCTATTCTTATTTTTATACTTGGGAAGATAACATTTTCAGATATTTGCAGCCTCATGTCTTTGGAAGCACACAACTTTTATCCCCTTTTTATAGCATGCAAGGATCTGCAGTACATAAATACATGCAACACAGAACTGAACACGAAAGATAATCCAGATTGTATATTTTGGAATCTATCATTGGTTTTTGTCAGAATAGGTTCTCACTTACATTGTTAACAAGTGTTACCCTGTTCTACAGCAGACACCACTGGGAGAGATATATATGCATGCTTGATTAGCAGTGCTTTCTGCTGTTGTAATTAGTCACTGAACTTGTTAGTAAGGAAAAACCTGGATTCTGAGTAAGGTGTCTATTTCAAAGAGTTACATAATTGTAATAACATTATTTTAGATTTACATACATTAACTTTTTATTATTGTTAAATTGTGATTCTCAGAGTTAATCTGGCAATAAGAGAGACAAGAAAATAGACTATTGTCTGTGACAATTAAACAACTAAACTTTTACTGTGTCCAAATAGCATCAGATTTGTCGTCTACTTAATTAGAGTATTAGATGAAGTCTGACATTAAATGGGATTCTAGGTTCTAATGAAATGTCTCCTGAGCTTTTGACAGACTGTTAAAACAAACTATTATCCTAAAATCAATTTGCAAACACTCTCAGATGTTTAAAATTCAAACTAAAGTGATAAAGTTAGCTGGATTAATACTTCCTTGTAGAAAATGACTGAAGGGAAGGAATTTCTGAATCAAAATGGGAGAGAGAGAAAATGTGGATTTTTTTTAAGGAGGTTATTTTATTACCTATCTTGTGTTTATAATCTATAAACAAAGACCGTAAAGAAAGTTTCTGAAAATAGAATGTACTGTGCCACGAAGTGGTAAGATCCTTATCTGGGCTGTTTCAGGCAAAGGCTAAGTGATCCCCTATCTCAGAAGAAATCCAGCTTTCTCAGGCATCTGAACCAAAGAGGTTCATGAGGGTCTATGTTTCATCTCTAGTAGCTTCAGGGTCCTGTTTCAGGATTTCAGAGATGCCTACGACATGGATTAAAAGCCCATTTACCTATGTAGTTGCGTTGGTGGTATAGTGGTGAGCATGGCTGCCTTCCTATGTAGTACTTATAAATTATTCTGTAATTTAAACATATATGTACATTTTATGTATGTATATATGAAATATAAATATATACCATAAGATCAAATATATAAGTTAAATGTATATATTACTTATATAAACATATTTATAAGACCATTGCAATTATACTTCAGTCTCTAGGTGTCTGGTAGCATAGCAATCTTAGTTCTCAAGGTGTGAAGAAAACAGAATTAATCTGGGGATATGCCACACAATAATGACAAATCCTAAGATACCAAATTTATCAGAAAATTTATTAGTGTGACACAATTTTCCATTAGCTATTTTAAGGGAGAAAATTAATATGATAAATTAAAGTTCAGCTGCCTCCAATTTGATGTAATCTTAATTCTAAAGTGGTACTTAGTAGCAGCTATAAATGAAATGACTATTTTAATGCTGTGAGTAGAAAATTACATAGCCTTTTTAAGAAGAAGTGCTTTTTAAAATTGTGCTCAATGACTCACCGTTTCTGTGATAACCCACAAAATGATCAGCTGCATGGGTTACGTTTACAAAGTCACAAGTATGATAGTAGGTGTAAAATACAGAATAAACCAGGCATCCATCAAAAAAGAGATGGGCACATGCTAGCTCTTTTTATTTCAGAAGAAGGAATAAAGCTCATAGAAGTTTTTGCTTGGCTTTACAGACTTGAGCAGCCATTAAATTCCTCCTTCCTCTGCCTTAACGTTATAATATAGAATATAATGGAACAGAGATAATGGACTTTCTCAACCTGAATGGAGGTTCTTAAAGAGTTTCCTGTTTAACATAATTAATTGGTGAACATTTTAAAGACATGTTCATCAGAATTAGATATCTTGATGGATGAGACTGATAAATGCTAACAAGATGAATTATACCTGGAATAAGGTGAGGTGCTGCATTGAAGTCCTGGTAACCCATCCAATAACCTGGGTGATAGCCTGGATTAAATGAAACAATTCTAATTCAAATTGGTCAAACCATTGTGGGCACCTTAAGAAAGAGACAGATACTTTGGGATTTGGGTTGAATAAAGCTTCAAGGGTGTTCAGGACTTCAGTACCTTAAGCTGGGCTGACAGTCTGGAGGAATAGAAGTCATCTACAGCTGTCTTCTGCGTTGGAAGTTCTGTCTTGTGAACTAGACTTTTTCCATATGGCCTCATAGATGTAGCTATGGGGAAATAAACTTGAGTTTCCTTAAAGGAAGAACTTTCAATCAGAACTTTTAAAATTTAAAGGCTGTGATGTCCCAGGTTTAGTTCTCTTTTGGTAGAAGTTTTCTAAAAGCTAGCTGGGGAGCCAGAGAGGGGATTTAAACATTGATAGTTGTGCTAGATGCCTTTTTTTGGATGGTAAGATTTAATAATTTTATTTGTAAAAATTAGCTTATAATGATCACTATAATCCTTTAGATAGATATGTTATCTAAGTTTAATAGGTGTTTAGTTATGTTTATAAAAGCCTATGAGGAGTTGAAGCTTATGAGAATGTTTAAGAAATTCAATCATTCATCCATTCACTAAACATTTATTACATTTCTACTCCATATCATTTACACAGGATATTAAAAGATGTGTAAGATAGTCATAGCTCTCAAGGAGTTCATACGATAAAAATGTTTTCGTTCAGTTTAACTATATTCATTTTTCATTGAAAACCAGACCTTGTTTTGTTCTTGTTGAAGAATGTTCTAGTTTTTCTTTTTAAGTTGCCTTTTTTTTCTCAACTCCATTTATCATTCTTTTAGTATTAAACTTTTAATATATTTTAAAAATGAATCTTGCCTTTCCTTCATGTATTATTGTTTTATTCTCATTCTTTCAGTTATTCATTCATTTATTTATTCATTCATGGAGCAAATATTCATTGATACCAATTTTGTGCCAGGCACTATTGTGGATTCTGAGAATTCAGTGAACTGGACAGTTAGTTATCTTCTAGTAAGGGAAGGCAGATGATAAGTAATTCCACAAAAACTAAACAAAGTGATTGAACATTACAAATGAGATAAATAGGATAAATGGGATAGTGGTATAAACTGAGACATTATTTTTAGGTTCTTCTTTAGTTTCCAGCTTCATAGTCAAGTTTAGTTACATCTACTTCCAAGGTATCTTTCTCATGCCCCCCTCTTCATCCCAGGATGGAGCAAATTTAACCTGGTGGTGACGGGTGGTATTGGTCTAATGTTCATTTCCCTAATGGAGACCAAGGCTTGACATATCTGAGAATTTTGCCCATATGTTATATTTTTTCCCAAAGGTTTGTGCATTTAAACCTTATATTACCTTACAGCTGTGTCTATATAAAATCAGACTCATTCATTTAAAAAAATGTACTTTTACATATCCTATAATTCCCTCCTACTTAATCAATTGCTTTCCCAAGATTTAAACCTTGAACATCTATAATCCTAAAAGCTCTTAGATCTGCACAATTTCCCAAAACTGTACCTGAGATTTAAACTAGATGAATCGAAGTGGAGATTTCATGTCTGGTCAAGGATGTTTTGAAATAAACAACAAAGGATAAGAATTAGGAATCTAATCAGAAGCACTAAGATGAGAGCATTATGGATATTGTCTTATTACAGAGGCTTAGGCAAATTTAATTATCAGTGATGGTATTTAAATGTATAAAACCCTAGCAAAACACTGGAAGTTAACAGGTAAGATTTTATACAGCTTTAAGTGGAACTAACAATTATTTGTGCTTTTCTAAGGTTGCGTACAAGCAGAAACACGATGCCACCAAAGGATTTTCAGATTATGCCCACATGAAGGAGCCACCTGAGGTCAAACATGCCATGGAGGTCAATAAACACCAGAGTAATGTAAGGAAGCTTATTTCTTATGATTTTCTAGAAAATCGTAGCTAACCCACATCAGGGTTTATGATTATGTTGTTGAAATTTCAATATTATGACACCTCTACTCAAAAAGGCCTTGTAACATTTCTTATCAGTCACGGGTACATCTGAATTGTTCTGTTGACAGTCATGAACACCTTGCAGAGAATACCCTTTAAACTGCCAGGCACTGGCAGGTATTGGAAATCTTGCTTTGTACAAGTCAAATATGGATCCTTTGGACCTACTGGGTTATTAGCATTTCCAGAGTGTCCTTGACTTTGTCAACTGAAAAAGAGTCACAAAGTCTGTAAATTTAGAAAGGTGACCTTCTTTATTATAAAAGATTACAGTCTGCAGGCTGGCCATGCTGACAGGCTGGGAAGCAAGACAGGCACTTCCATGAAGGCAGGGGTAAGGCTGGAATTTATGCTGAATGCATTGGTCAAGTATACATATTCAACAGGGTATAGGCAGAGCTATGAATATTGATGAAGGAGACCCACACGCATGTGTATTAGGTTTACATGTATGTAACATATATCCTATGATCACTTTGGCATGGAGATTTAACATTTAGATGTATTATAATTAGTATATGTAAAAATTCCTATATGTAAAAAGGTGAAATGTAGGGTGCAAGCCTGTGAACTGTGTATATCCAGGAGACTGGCTGGAACCCGTCTGTGGCTGGCAGTTGTTTATTAAAAAGAAACTCTTTGTGGTCTAAAACAGCTGTCATGTTGGAACCATGCAAACGGGATGAGGGTGTCGGGGGTGGGATGAAGTAAACTAAGAAGTCTTCCGGCCTTTTGTTCTTCTCAAGTCAGCCTTTTATAAAATCTAGTAATGATGAGTAAGGGGACAAGGGGTAGAAGCGAATGAAATATGGCCAGCCTCTGTCCTGTTGTGGCCGGGAGCTTAACATTTTGGTGTCTTTTAGACAAAAGTGGGTCCTTCAGTCTGTTGAGGTAGGACTTTTATTTGAGCTCTCAAGTTGGTGCCAAAGCTCATTCTAGCCTAGAATCCCAGAACTGAAACAAAGAGAATCAGAAATAAATGTCCTGGGGAAGGATTATTCATAAACACTAGCTGGATTGTACCCTAGTACTGATTCTTCTGGAATGCTTGTGGGGACCAAATCATCAAACTTAAGACCCACGGGGAATATGAAAGCAATAGATACCTAATGGTTGGCTTAGAAGCAGACGTCAAGAAGGAGGAAGTTATCCTGTAGAAATAAATTTCTTCTTTGGTTATAAGTTACCAGGTTCATGGCAACTTTCACGAATTTGTTCAATGACCACCATTATTCTGGTGGCCTAGAGGAGTCATTTCTTCCTGAAATGGTAGGGGAAGTTTATTTGTCTCATCATGATTTCTCTATTCTGCAAAAACAATGTGTGAACTGTTTGTCAGGTTCTTGAAGGGTTAGAATCGGTTAGTGACAAAGTGTCTGTCCTAGTGGGGTCAAGAAACTCCCTCTCTTGGAAAAGTATCCGAAGGACCTTTGTCATCTCATGTGGTGTCCATCCCACCATGTAGTGCTGTCACTGAACTGTGCCTTGCTGACGCTGCACCCTAGAGCCTCCTTGAGCAGAGTGTCGGTCTGCAGCATGGCAGCAGTTATTTGGTACTAAATTGTAATAGGTCAATGTTTAAGTAAAAACGAATGAGGTTTTACATTGTAACCCATATGCATACACATATACCAATACCAAAGCACTTTTCTAAGATGGTTTGAGATTGCTAGGCGATGGAGCTGCTACAGCTCTGTAATTATTTTCAGGGTTATTTTAAGGGGATGCTGTTTGCTTACAGAATGACTGTGATAATCATAATAACTACCACTTACAGAGCACATGCCACTTACCAGGCACCAGGAACTGTGCCAAGACTTTGATCATTTCTAATTCCTGCAAAAACCCTGTACTCATTCCCATTTTGTAGATGAGGAACATGCGACTGAGGAATCAAACTCCCGAGTCTGCTCTTTCTGTTATACCTTGCTGCCTCCCTCTTAAAGATCACTGGCAATGAAGCAAGATTTTAAATAAAATTTTAAAAACGGGGAGCAAAATAGGTCATCTTCAGAATCTGGATGCACTGTGGGAAAGAATAACCGAGAAACCCCAAGTTCCCACTGTTCTGATATTGAAGAGACTTTGAATTAGCACAAATGTCCGTGGTTTAGAAGGTGGCCTGGTGGCTTGGAGTAGGGGCCAGTGTTACACGGATCCCAGGGAGGCTCTCTCTCACTCTATAATTCAATGAAATTCAAATACGGAAGTTCCTTATCATAGAACTGGGCTTATTATTTTAACTCTGCCTTTTCTTTTAAAAGGTCTTTGATTGAGGGATTGAGGGAATAGAGTATAAAGCCCTTTTCTCCTTCATTCAATACTGTGTACTTATGGGAGAAAGACGTGTTTACTTATACTCCTCTGCCGACTCGACTCAACCTTTACATGCAAAGTTTGTACATATAATAGGATTTAGAAAGTGTTTAAGACTATTTACTCAGATTTAAAGTGAGAATGATATTTGTATTCTACCTGTGAAGTAGTTGATATTCTTCTAGAGTCAAGCCACTTAGAATAATACATTTGTTGTCCCTACGATATGAAATTTAAACACAGATCTTGGAAACCTAAGGAGAGCTGGTACATCTCTTAGTTCAGAGGGTGGATCTACAGGATATCTGTAAAAGACAGTCTCCCATAAAACTGTCTTCCGTAAAACTTCAGCCCAATGAAACTCACTGCAGAGAATTTACTAGTAGAATTACCCTTTCTATTAATGTACACTGTCACTCTGCATTATGGCAACAGATGACTTAATTTAATTTAAAATATAAATGTGTCATCACATATGAATCTGATTTACCTAAAACAATGAGAGAATATTTGTTTACCTTTTTTTTATGTTTCCACCAAAATCAAATCAGCTTTATAATATTTGTTAGAGAACCAAGATTTCTTTTCTCTGTACCTGTAGCAATGTGAGTAAGTGGAAGAAGACGAGAGGAAAGGATTGTTTGTGACTGTCCAACTGAATTCTCACCTCTGAACAGAGCTCTGAGGGAAGAGTATTCTGGAGGCAGTAGTCTCTTGTGTCACCAATGAGAGTGATCCCCAAACAGGAAAAAGTTACTTTTTAGAATACCTTCCACTGTAGCATGTACTAGAAAAGAAATTTGGAGTCAGAGCACGGTTAAAATGGAATACTACTCAGCTTTAAGGAACAATGGTGATCTAGCACCGCTTGTATATTCCTGGATACAGCTGGAACCCATTCTACTCAGTGAAGTAGCTCAAGAATGGAAAAACCAGCACCACATGTACTCACCAGCAAATTGGTATTAACGGATCAACACCTAAGTGGACATATAGGAGTAACATTTATCAGGTGTAGGGAGGGTGGGGGGGGAGGAGGAGATGGGTATATACAACCACAACGAGTAAGATGTGCAACATTTGGGGGATGGACATGCTTGAAGCTCTTACTCGAGGGGGGAGAGGGGCATGGGCAATATAAGTAACCTTTTTTTTTTTTTTCTTTATTCCTGAAAAAATGCTGACTGATTTATAAGTAACCTTAACACTTGTACCCCTATAATACACTAAAATAAAAAAAATGCTTTTTTGCCATGTGTTGCCTAGATGACCTCCTTAATAGCTCTAGATCTCAATTTTCTCATCTGTAAAATGGGACAGTACCTACCTCATGGAACTGTCACAAGTATTAAATGAGATAGTATATGTAAAGGGCTCTGCAGAAGAGTCTCTCCATAAAATGTTAGTCCTAGTGGTCCTCCTTCAGTTTTTAAAGGATGACTTGAGAGTTTAGGGTAAAATCATAGTTAATCTCAAACAATTAAAAGAAGTTCAATTTATAAAAGGCCAAATCAATATGAAATTTATATTAGGAAATGTTTAGGTCAGAAGGACATACTCAAAAGGTTCCTGAACCTATCTTGTTAATACTATAATCAAAAAATGATTAAAACCAGCTAAACCTAAATCCTTTTGTATCTTAAGGGACATACCCCTGCCAGATTTTTCTAATGGAATTAGAGAAACTGGAGATATTCTATCCTGTGACTTTCCCCTAAAGATGGGCTTATAATGAAAAGCCCAGTTATGTTATTAATTCTCATCAATCTTATCAGACCCGAAGTCCAATAGTTCTGAAGTAAGTTAAACAAATTTTAAACTGCCATTTTACGTTTTATAAGTAATGTGTCTATACAGACTTGTGATGAAATTGGAGTGGTAAACTTTTCCAAAACGCCATATTGGTAATCGATTCAATGTGTATTAGAAGGAGGCATTCAGCGTGGGAAACAAGAGACTTAATGTTCTTTTCAAGAATGATGTATGTACTTTCTTAAAATTAATAAAAAACTTATCAGTAGACAAAATTTCTATTCCATCAGAAAGTGAAAAAGCTTACAGATAAATCAGTAAAATGATACTAGAAAAACAATTATGGCTCTATGTAGTCCCCAATGTGACTTACAATAACAGTGTTTAAGGATTTAGTATTAAAAATAGATATAATAGTGTTTTGTTTATCTCCAAGGCAGGATAGTTAGTAATACTTATCCTGCTATTTTTTACAAGATTGTGGTGGTAATAAAGTTAAATCATGAATAAGAAAACTTTTATTAACTATAAAATGATTTATAAGCAATGACAATTATAACAACAAACTGGTGTAGCTGTAAGGCCATATTTTACTCCATCTTTTAGGAGATTGAAACCTTTCCTGTCTTCTGAATAGTATAAGATCCTACATTTACTTATATTTAAAAGGTTTATATTCTCTTATAGAAAAATAACATTTATAATTTAATAATTTAGTAAGTTTTTATGTACAGCATGCCCAGACAGAAACAACCATCATTAAAGATAGAATTACCAGGCCATGTACCTATTTGACATTACCTGGAGGGCTTCTCCAATGTGAGAGTTTGATGATGACAAAAATTTTCTTGAGATTGATTGAACCAGTGCTTTAAGATTATAACTATATAATTCTTCTGTTCCACAAACTTAAAAGGCTATATATCCTCACTAGTTTCTTCACCCCAAGAATCACCCTTAGCAGAACAGCAAAGGGAAGGTTTCTGGGCCAGTTGGACTTGCTTCCTTTAAGGTCTACCTGCTCTTACGACCCTAGCCCTGACAGCTGTGTGTCTGTCTGTCTGTCTGTCTGTCTGTCTGTCTGTCTGTCTGTAGTTTCCTTCCAGGCTGCCATTCCTGAGCTCTCAATCTTCTCATCTCCAAGTGCTTGACTTTCACTTTAAGGACAGTCTGTGGAGGTTTTGCTTTTCTCTAGTTTATTAGCTCACCTGCCAAGGAGTCTTGCAGTGTGAGTATAAAAAGCTTACCGGAAGGCCACTGTGAATCCTTTGACTAAACATGTGCCTGGCTGTACCTGCAGAATAAAGGCATCCATTTCACTTCCATTTGCAAAATCTTACATGAGTTCCTCTTGTTGGCCAAGCTTAACCCATAACTATAGAAGGAAGGGGATTCTGGAGGGTGTGTTTCTAGCCTTAGAAGGCATTGTTGATGGAGCCCAGGTGTGTGCAGACGATTGGATGTGATAGGGGTGGGGTGAGGATTTTATGAGTTAATGCACATGAAAGATCGCCTGACACAGTGAACATAGGAAACATGCAAAAGACGTGGCTCTGATGAAACCCAGAAGTAGAAACTTACAAGGAGAGAACAAGCTGAGATTAAAAGACAGTAAAATGAGATGAAAATACAAGTTGAGGGTGAAAGTGAACATGGGCAGATAAGGAAGAAACTCAAAGACAGATTTTGATGAAATTCAAATCTTTATTGGAGGCAAAAAAGAACAGACTTGACACTGGAAAAACGTGAAGTGAAGGCTGTATTAGTCTGAACTCTTTAGTGATAGAAATCCATCTCCAGTTCAAGTAAAAAGTGAGAATTTGTTGGTCTATATAATTGGGAAATTCAAGTTATCTTCAGGCATGCCTGGACCCAGAGGCTTCACAGTGTTAGGAGGACTCCTTCCCCATCTCTAGGCTCTGGGATGTGTATGACCCTTTCAGATAGACTCTGTCTGTGTGAACTTGAGATGACAGCTGGTGTTTCCAAACTTAAATCATGCTTGCAACAGCTGAACCCACAGAAAAGGGGAGCAACTCTTTCTCCTCCAGCCTCAGATCCTCTGCGTGACTTTGGCCTTGATGCGTGCTGTGTGTGCCCTTCCATTAATCATGGTTTTTAAATGGATGGGACATCTGATTGGACAGCCTGAGTCACGTGGCCACTCCTGTCCACAGGAAGGTGGGCTGCATTTGAGAGCCTCACCAAATTACATGCAGTGAGGGAGGAGAAGTTTCCAAATTAAAACAAACAAACAAAAAATGATAGGGGAAAAAAAATGAACACATGTCCACTACAAAGGAATTATTTAGGAAAATGAACCAGATATATGGATAAAAGCAAAGAAATAAGTTCAGTGAAATAAAAACGAAGGAAAAGATTAAGTTTGTAAGGTAATAATTCTAGGTCTTCTTATAGAAGAAACCAGAATCACTATTTTCAGATAAGACTAATATACTGTTATATACTATTAAAAAAACTAAAATAGATCATCTTGGATACAAGATAAATGTCTAAAAATGACAATCACATGATTATTATTTTGCACAGTGCAAGACCTATAGAGCAAAATGATGAAACTTCACTGAAAAGTATAATAAAAGATTTAAAGAAATGAAGGAATATACCATCTTCTAGGAAAAGACTGAAATATTATTCAGATGTCATTTGTCCCTAAGTCATTTTATAGGGCTCCAGATATTTCCTTTGTGGAACTTACTAAAATTATTCTAATGTTCATAACTAAGAACAAAGAGTTAAAAGTTAAGAAAAAAATTGAAATAGAAGAGTAGTAAGGTAAGTTGGTTTAATGGATATTATCGTTGTTTAAAAAATTTCTTGTGGTTGCATATTTAAGAAATGTATGAGTGAGGCACTTAGTTAAGTCTTTATATGGTACATAATAGTCTAAAATGGACACTATTATTAATACTATTTTCTCCTCCTGCCCCCTTCCTTATTCCTTCTTTCTCTTCCTCTTCTACTTTCCTCCTCGTTTGTTCTCTGTTATTTTCCAAGGAAAGAGTAGGGAACAAAACATTGAAGAAAATAATGTAAAATCAATCATTGGCCCTCAAGCTTGCACTCATTCTGGGTTGATGATTTTCAGAAATCTTTTCCTTTCTTCTTATTTAAAATAATATTATGCAGAGCACCATATTGTCATGAAAAGACTGAAGAATGGAGGCTAATCTATTGTTCCAATAATGGTTAGCATTTAGGATTTGAATTTACTTAAGAAATTGAAAAAAATACATGTGTGTATATATACTTTGACTTCCAAGCCTCTCTTCTGATATGTAACATTTTTGATTCTTCCTGGGCTCTGATGGATGGTAGCATGGGGCCGATATGTACTGAGAAATGTCAGATGAGCTTGCCTTAAACCTGGCAATGAATCATCTATTTGGAGAACCATGTTGCCATCTATGTTCAGACATCCTTGCAGACAGTGGAATCCAGAGCTTGCTACTCTTGCATGTGCCCCAACATAAGCCCTCTTTCTTGTGGCATGATCCCAAGGAGTGATATTCTGGAAGATCTGACTAGTGATCAGTTTTCTCCTGTGTGGCTTCGTCGTGTCCTCTTGTTTGAATTTGCGGCTCACGTCAATCTTAATATTTGTTTTGAGTCACATATGCTGGCCTCTAATTTGCAATTTACATGGATGATGGGGCCCTATTCAAAGTCCTGCTCCTGCTGCCTTTGTGCCGTTCACCTCTCTTCACGCAGTCATTAGACTGAACAGCATATAATTAGGTAACCCATGTAAAGCTTAGATTTCTGAAAGGTTGTGGTGCTTTTCAAAAAGTGAGGGTTTCCATTTTTACCCTCATTCTTTTCTAAACAAAAAGACATTTCCCCCCTGTGGTTTTCATATGAATGTAGTAACTTAGAAACAGTTAGTCCTGTAGGTGGGTAATAATTTTGGTTTGTTTTCACCTGAGAGCCGGTTTTTGTTTACACAGCTTGTATTTAACTCAGCGTAGGCTGAGGTTGATTTGCCTTCATTTGTGGATGAGTGTGTTGCTTTTGGAAGCCAATGAAATTGGCCTGTTTTTGAAATCCCTAAAGATTGAAAATCCACCCAACAAAATAACTCAGTTGCCAGCTTACTTTTATGTTTCTTTGACTACCTGTATGCACAAAACCTTCCTGAAATGACTGGTTAAGGTAGACCATGAAAATATAAATACTGAAGAAAACAGATGTTCTTGCTGAAATTATAGTAATTGTGTGTTCACTTGTCAGAGACAGATTCATGATTATAAATGTAGTTTAAAAAATAGCCTTGGTTGGTGAAGCAAATGCAAGCTCATAAAAGAGTAAATAGAAGTGTCTATAAATGTTTCATTGAAATAAAATAATAGAATGCATAGGGAGCCTATTGAAGTATTAATGCATTGCCATTTCTTATACCTGATATTATTTTTCAAAGAAGTAAGAAAAGTATACATTTTTTTAATTCTGCAAGGTTGAAAGTACAATGATAAAATACATCAATAGTACCCAGAGCTCTGGTTAATAGTAGTCAACTGGGGAATTCATTAAAATCAGATTCTTATGCCCATATACCAAAATTCTGTTATGGAGGAGTATAGATGGACTCTAGGAATCTAAATTTTTAATAACTACTCCCAGATGATGCTATTGCAGAAATCTTCAGGTGACATTAGAAATACTTGCTTTGTATAAGATGTAATTAATTGTGCATTTTGTATAGATGTCCAGTGGTACGTTTCTGTGTATACCTTTAATGCTCTGAAAAATGAAGTTGGGTTTTAAAAATGCCCATCTTTGCACACCTTGCATTATACACTTAATAGAATATAATAGCCAGCTGGTCCCTGGGATATTGCCACATAGAACCACCTCTGGAAAATATTGCTTCAGCTTGGGACAAAGCTCAAGAATAGAGAAGCAGAAATATTGGTGAGATATTGACCATTGGACGTGACACTGGTTCAGTTCTGTCCTCTCTTCCCATTTGTCAGTTGACTTCATCTAAACAACTAATGTGATCTAAAGTACATTTGGCAGAATTTATGTGTTTTTCTCTTTAAATCTCTACTTTGCATAGTTTGGCTCATGTCTAACATACATTCAGAGGCAGAATATTCCTTAATATCATCGTTTTTATTTTGGGAGGATCAAATCATTGCAATGATATTTATTAGGTGATAAAACTATAGGTGTCCATGACCAGGTCTCCTTGGGGTGAGCATTTGAAGAGTTCAGCATTTGAAGGAAGAGAAGGATATCATTGAGAGGGCAAAAGCTGGAGAATTACAGAGCTTCACCACCCGCTTCTTGAAGGAAGTGATTTCAAATATTCTTGTGCTGTGGCTTATCTTGCTTCCACTGGGGGTAGAGACTGAGATGGGCAAGTTGTAGTCCTCAATGAGATTATTATGTATATATTCTGTAAATATTCTGATTATTCTGTAAATATTATCATACATACCTAGACACAAAGACATGCTATTAAAGTGGTATATATAAAATCCTTCAAGATCGGTTTTGTGCCTTAGTTCTTAAGTGTATATTTCTTAGGTAGTATAAATTCAGTTCAAACATATCAGTGAAACATAGGTATAATGTAAACAGTTAATATATATACAATTAATGTGCCAAAAAACCCACAACAACCTAAAACCAAACAAATTTAAGGTCAGTAGACTCACTAAGCTATTATAGCATGAGTAAATAATGTTATGGACATGAAGGCTAGTAGCCACATGAAATTACTAATTTGTTCTTTTCTTTTTTCCAACCCAAACTCTCTCTGATCAGATTTCTTATAGAAAAGATGTACAGGACACCCACACATATAGTGCGGAGCTCGACAGACCAGATATCAAGATGGCAACTCAGATCTCCAAGATCATAAGCAATGTAATTTCTCCTTCTTAATCTTGAGTAGAAATGATTTCTTATTTTTGTAGGAGGAAAAGCACAGCTTTGGGAGTTGGAGTGTTCATTTAATTAGTGTAATAAATCAATCGGAATTAATGACCTCTCAATTTTTCCCCTAAATTAATTATCCATTTGATTATGTTAATTATTTGGGTATGTGCAGAAATGGCCCAAACTCAACTTGACTGTGGCTAATATAACCATACTTTCAGAGAAATAAGTGTAATTTGGGTATATGATCACATTCTGATGTCTCAGCCTAAAAGCCAAGGTTGTCAGTCATCTGGTCCCATATAATCTCTCATTTCACCTAACTCTGCTCCAAAGACCTTTGCTTGGTCTCATTTCTATGTTGCTGCTGTTAATTGTGCAGATTCTCTTCCACCAATGCTCACCTTCGTGCACTTCCTACATGGCATGACTATTTCCTGTCTTCTCTAAGATGCCCTACTTAATTAGCACCATTTTACTTGAATACATGAAAAACTCTGGTTAAATGTGAGGATTTAACTTGAACCAAGTATTTGAATAGCATAGGCTAACTTCACCCTGTAAATCAGTGATTACTAAATTCACCTGCATGGCAATCAAACATGGTCAGACGATTTCCTGAGAATAAACAAAACCATAAAAGCTTCCTGTATGCAGAATGCAGGATTTCAATTATCCAGAAATTTGTCCTAATATTTTGTGTCAGTATTGATACATAAATATTAATACAAAGATGATGAGTGAATATGTAGCCTCAAAATTAGTTAACTATTTTACTGTAAAAAGTGAAATTTATTTAAATAACCATACAATAAAATCAATTCCTGCTTTATCAGTCAAGATTTTAATATTAGATGTGTTGTAAGGAATTTTTTTTTAATGGGCTGAGGATCTATTATATTAATATTTTGACTAATCTCAATGTAATTCTTTATTGGAAAGTAGAAAAATGTGACATTCTCTTATTTTTTCATTTTAGGCAGAATACAAGAGAGGGCAAGGGATAATGAATAAAGAGCCTGCTGTAATTGGAAGACCAGATTTTGAACATGCTGTGGAAGCTTCTAAACTTTCTAGTCAAGTAAGGCTGTTAGGATGATTCCACAATGACTGTATTCAGAGATTTTGTTTCTAGCAGCACAGGAAAATATTTCATTTTAGATAATATCTTTAATTGCAAGAATAAACAGAGATAATGTTTCTGAATCCATTTCAGATAGGATTATAATAATTATGAATTTCAGCAAAGGAAAAAAAAAATGAAGTCTAACTTAAGCGTAAAACAAAGTTTTCTTTTCTCCAGGATCAATATGGACTTGTTTTAATGAGTTTGTCCATGTGGTCACATTTTCCCGGATTTCCAGATGTCAACAATAGTCATGCTAAATAATTGTATTTTTACCTATACACACACACGTGCACATGCATACACACAAAATTTTAGCTTAGTAATAAACATATTAATGTTCCCATTTTTGAATGCTTTAGTTTAATCACCAAATTAAAAAAGGGTGATGAAAATGAAGAAAACTTTGAAATCTTATTGAAGAGCATAAAATAAGATCAGAAAATGTATCATGACATGCCATATTTTTGGCTGAAATTCTCAATAGATAAAAATTTCACTTCTCCCAGAATAATCATATAAATGTCATGCCATTTCAATTAGAATCCAACAGGGATTTTTTTTTTAATATGGATAAAATGATCTTAAAGTTTGTATGAAAAGGAAATGCCTGAGAATAGCCTTTAAAAGTATGAAAATGAAGACCAGTGAAGGGGAACTTAAGTTATGAGTTGCCATAAGATACTATTAATAAAAAACCACTGAAATTAAACCAATATGTGATTGGTACAGTGAGAGATAAAATAATCAGTAGGATAGAATAGGGAGTCCTGAAATACATTCTAATACGTATAAGAATTTAATATATGATGGAAGTGTTGATTCAACTCAGTGGGGAAAGGCTGGGGTAGTTAATAAATGGTGCTGACATAACAGGCCATCCATCATGGTAAAAACAAAATTGGACCCGAATCTTAAACCATATACAAAAATGAATTCCAGGTGTATTAAAGATATGAATGCAAACAATAAAATAATTTTAAAATCTTAATAGAAAATTCAGGAGACTCTATATACCACCCTGGGATAACAGAGTTGTTCTTAAACAAGACCAGAGATCCAGAAGCTATAATAGGTTTGCATGTTGACTATATAAAAGTTAAAAACTCCTTTTAATGGAAAAGGTAACATTTGCAGAGTCAATAATAATATTATCATGTAGTAAGTTCTATACAGTTTACAGTGTTTTCCACTTTGAAAATATCTGTTTCTCAAGTTGCAAAAGTCTTAATTAAATTACATTTCAAACTGGAGAAACATAAGTGATGAAAGGTATGAAATCTAACTGAAGAACATAAAATAAGTTCTGAACAAATGAAGACATACGATGCTCTTAACTCCAGAGTCTTGATACTTGATATCATAAATGCATTAATTCTTTCAAGATTAATTTTGAAAACTCCATGCAATTCTAACCAGAATCCAAACAGGGTTTTAAAAAATTTAAATGTAATTAAGTATTTGAATAAATTAAATATGCTAGAGTTTATACAGAGAAGGGTGTGTCTGTGAATAGTTTTATAAATATAAAAAAAGAGCAGCAATCTTTAAATATTTAGGAAAATATTTGTAATGCCTGTGATGGGAACATTTTAATACCTGGAATACACAAAAGTTCTCTAAAATGGAAACAAATAAAAAAAAATTAACAGCCCTGTAGAAAAGGGGACAAATGAAATAAATAGTTCACAGAAGAGCAAACATAAATGGCCAATAAGCACATAAAAAAGATGTTCAAATTTATTAGTAGAAAGGAAAATGCCAATGAAGTAAAAGCCAATTGTTATTTACACCCATTTACACCCACCACATTCTATGACTCGTCTGTGTGGAGGAGAAGGACATGTGGAGTTAGAAAGGTTTTGTGAAGGACGTAGGTTTGAGCTGGGTTGGATTTAGAGAGAGAAAAACTCTGCTCAAGGGAAAGTCCCCAAATAAAGGTTGGGAATGAGCATGCCAGGGGACAGAAATCTCACGGCAGAGGCTCAGAGTGAGAGGCTGTGGTTGTGAACATAAACAGGAATTTGGAAGTTTAGATACTGTTCAGTGATGGATGGGTCAGTGTTTTGATTTTGACGATAGGCCACTACTTAGCAGAGTAGAAATGCTGTGTTCTTTTATATATTTTTTTATTGTGATAAAATACATATAGCATAAAGTTTACCATCTTAACCATTTTTAAGTGTGCAGTTCAGTGGAATTAAATGCATTTATTAATGTCATGCTACCATCACCACGATCCATCTTCAGGACTCTTTTCCTCCTGTACTTGTGAAACTCTATAGCCATTAAATAATAACACCCTGTTCCCTCCTTCCTGGAATAGTGTATTCTATAAAAGAAATGGTGAGAGAAAAAGTGGTATCAGAATGTAATCACGGGAGCATTTTAGAGTTGAATACCAAAAAGAAAATACCAGAACTACTTATTGCCATGTTAACTGTAGTCCCTTACATAAGAAATAAGTAATCCCTGAAAATTAAAAAAAATATATTTCTTATTCTTTTTTTCAAACATTGAGATTAACAAGGAATCTTTTTTTTTCCTCCCCCCCCCCCGTTTTTCAAAGATCACTGAAAATTTTGAGCAAAGAAAGATTGTAGAAAAAAATACTACTTAAGGAAGGTTAATGTGACAACACCGTGTGGGAAAGTTTGGCCTCGCAAGAGGCAGAAAGGAGAGACACCCAGATGTAACATGTCTCATGTTAATTATTTTACACATTACAAGATGCTTTCACTGTGTTCAAAAGGTGGGGTGTGTCCTGGTGACACTCTCATTAAAGGGCCAAGATGGGATGTGATTCCCAGCTCTTCTTTTCCAAATAATGCTTGATGAGGACCCAGGGGATATGGGCATTGCTTTAGATTTCTAGCACAGCTACCTAACTTCTTACAACTTCACTCTTTTCTGGGGATAAAAAATTCCCATCAGTTACATAGGAGAGGAAGCAGATTTGGGAAAAGTGTGGTTGGGTGTAGTGATTACGAAAAATGGGCCCTCAAGCAAGACCACCTGGGTCAAAATCCTGGTTCTGTTCTTGCTAGCAGAGTGACCTTGGACAAATTGCTTAATTTCTCTACCTTTAGTTTTCTCATCTGTAAAATGAAGATGACAGTAATAGTATCTACTTCTTAGGGTTGCTGTGAAGGTTAAATGAATTACTGTAAGTAAAAGACTGAAAATGGTACCTGACCCATAGAAACATGACATAATTTTACAGAAATTATTTCACTATAGATATTCATAATAGTTTTCTCTTCTGCATTTTCAGATGAATTCATGCACCAAATGGAGCAGGGATGGGAACGCTGGCTCTTAGATTCTGGTTTTAAATTCACTCCATCATAATCCTATTTGAGAGTCCCTAGGAGAAAATTTTGATATTTGAGCTTTTATTGTCCCATTTCAAATTGAGTCCACAAAAATCCTACCATTTGATCCCCACTTGGGCTTTTAAGCAGGTTTTTTTTTTTTTTTTTTTTTTTTTTTAAATCTCAAATTATTTAGCAACTGAATGATCAGATGCTTAAGCAGATTGTAATTTGCAAGTTACATTATATCTATCATCATTATTTTCCATGACATTCTTACTGACCTTATGGTGTATAAACTTATCAGAAAGGGGGGAAGTTGGGCAGATGAATAGGATTTCTGGAATGAACTCAGTATGTTCCATTTGCATTTTCAGGTATATCAACTAGAAATAACGACAGAAAGTATAGTTTCTTATTTTCATTGATAACTTTGAAGATCACATACTGTCTTGCTCTTAAACTAATCACAGAGGCACATAAATACACAGAAGGGAAATGTTTTAGGAATTTAATAAACAGGGAAACAGGGGACAGGATGCAGGGAGAAAAAGAAGACGACAGCCCTAGAAGTATTGTAAGAGGGAAGGCAATAACAAGGCAGTGGTCATGGGATGTAAGGGGGTAAGACTTGTCTGATGAAAGGAGAACACGGAGCCACAAATGAGTGGTCGAGGTTCTCACATTTTACCTGTAAATTGAGCTTTGTGGGATTTTACCTGGAACAGGTAGTGGAGACACGTATGAAACCCTTCTTATGTTAACTTGTGTAATAGCTTGCTCCCATAGACATAAACTTTCCCTTTTTCAATCTGATCAAGATCAAGATACATAAAATTGTGGTCAGGTCATTAAAAAAATCAGTAAAAACATAAAAGTAAAATCTCATGTGCCAAGAAAAAGAGGTTGATATATATGTGTCTCAAACGTGAATGCAATCGTTCTTGAAGCCATCAACTTAAAAAATTTACCAGACATCTTAATTGATTACTTGGAATTTGTCTATGCGATGAATGAATTCTTTGTTCAGTTTTATTAACCTCCAGAAAGAGCTATGTATTTATAACCATTAGTATTTGTCCTCAAATTACATTTGTTATATTGATTAAGAATGGGTTTTAAACCTGAAAATTACATGATGGTTGGCTATGAAAATTTAGTAACAAATAGTGTCCTTGGATTGTAACGGGTAATAATTGGTTTGGAGAATCGCCCATTCTCCCTTCCTGGCAAACACTCTCTCCGCCAACCTCCTCACACCCAAGTATCAGCTTAAATGTCACGTCCCTAACTTGCCAATTTCAGTGGTATCTCTCTTCTCTCCTTTATTTTCTGCTCTTCTTCTTTATAGTTCTTGACACAATTCATAATAGTTGTATCTAGGGCATATTGTGTCTTTCAGATATCTACTTCACTTACCAAAGGACTCTGTGGACAGGGCTTTTGTGCCTTTGACCCACCATTATGGAATGGCACAGATTAGGTTGCCAATAAATACATAGACTGATGAAACACATTTTCTCTGGATCATTAACATTTGGAGCAAAGTCAGTAAGATGCTATTTTGCAAAGAAAATCAGAGTGGATATATTATTTTGTGTAAAATTCAGACAAGAACTATTACTGATTTTATGATGAGTTCTACATAAAAATCTGTTTGTCTTATCTTCCTTGACAGCTTTTAGTTTAATTTCATCCAAACTTGGAGGGAATCGATGCCTATAGATATGTAGTGTTGTGTTATTTGCTTACTTTTCATTTTCAATTATAATTAAGGTGTGCTTATCCAGTTTTCCACTTCTTTCTTAACATTTGTTTGTGTGGCTATGATAAAAAGTTTTCATTCAGGGTCTGCTTTTTTTCTGCCTTTACTGACTCTTTGTGACGTTAGCGTGAAGTACAACACATCTCATGGTGGAAGCTTTATCGTGTTTGGAAATTAGGCTTCACACCATGGACTCACTGCTCTGTCCAAATCAGTTATAAGGAGCTAGTTTAAATGTTGTCATGGTAGCTTGAGAGTACCAGTATTTTCTCTCCAAGTATGAGCCTCTAAAAGTCCTGCTAAGCCTGTTACAATTCTTTAGAAAAGTTTTAGGAGTTTTATCCCATATACCTCCACAGTATTTTTTTTTAAAAAAGATGATAAATATCAGGAGCACTAGGTAAGCTATTCATAATGTAAATAACGGCAGTCATATGGAATAATTTCATTTGTTTCCAAAGTAACTGATCTAGTGTTAAGGAGTGACATTGTATCTTAAACCACATAAAAGTTACCTAACATCTATTTCTACCTTACTCAAATAATCTTAAAACCAGGGAGGGTTATGCTTTGATCCATGGTTAGATAACCAGTTATGGTCAAAGAAAAACATTGCCTGGATCTCTCGGGAGATGCAAGTGTGCTTGAGAGGTAGACACTCAAATGTGTGAACTGTAGGTTGAAAATAGGATAGAATGTTGTGGGTGTCTGTGTAGCGTTAGTGAGTGAAACAGTCAGCGGATGAGAGGTGTGACCAACTTCAACCATTTGGTTATTTTCTTAGTTCATTTATGTGTCTACCTTACAGAAAGAATAAGAAACAGTTGGGTGTCAGTGTCTGGTCAATGTATTTTTTATATAATGCAGTTATTTTACTTTGTGGTTACTTAACGAGGGAAATTCTTGTGTTTTTGTTCCTTAACCACTTTGAATCAAACCACTCAGAGTAATGAAGGGTAAAATAAGATAAATTTCACAACACATTGCTTATTATTAATATTACATTCAATATAAGTATATGAATGACAGATTTATTATTGTTTTTCAGAAATATACAGATCACCTTGACTTGTAATAGTTTAATTTGAGATTTTTCAACTTCACCCTGGTTCGAAAGTGAAACACATTCAATAGAAACTATGCTTTGAGTATTCATACAACCATCTGTTTTTCACTTTCAGCACAGTATTTAATAAATTACATGAGATATTCAACACTTATAAAATAGGCTTGGCATTAGATGATTTTGCCCACTGATAGGCTAATGTAAGTGTTCTGAGCATGTGTAAGGTAGGCTAGGCTAAGCTATGAAGTTTGGTAGGTTAGATGTACTAAATGCATTTTTGACTTACAATGTTTCCAACTTACGATGGCTTTGTTGAGATGAAACCCCACTGTAGGTTGAGTAACATCTGTACATTGACTTGGAAGAGCAAATGCCAGGTTTAATAACAAAAAAGAATTTGTCATTTTCAAACACCCTAAGGATCGCCTCTGCTCCTAGTGTAATTGTGCTGGAAACCTCAGGGTTTGCCAAAACAGTATGATGGGCTCTCTGTGTGTGCAGAAGTTCATATAACCCATTTTTGCTGTTTGGCTAACACAGTATGCTGGTGAATCTGGCTGAGTCAGAAATGTCATTCCAGGGGAGGTCAGTTAAAGAGTACACCTTCTTTGTTGAGTGGATACCCTTTAGGCACTAAAAACCTAGGAGAGAGACAGAGCCAATGATGAAGATATGGTGAAAATCAACCTCGCACAGAGAGGTGAATAAAATGCAAATGTGTGTAGGATTGTTTAGGGGAGGACCAGGCAGGGAAAACCTTTTTGCTTTTGTTTCAGCTACCGTATAAAATAGTGAAGGAAATCTAAATGTGTTTCATTTGTGATTTGTCCTTGATTTCATGACATAGAATAATTTTAAAAAATCAGTTTTTCTTTTTCTAATGAGGCATTGGTGATTATTGACAGTAAATTTATGAGGCAGTGTGAATGTCAGAAAGTTATTGGGGCCACAACAGAAAATATTTCCTGTAAATAATCTTGAAATATTCCCCAAATGCTGTATTTCCACCAAGATTTTCGATAGCTCTCTCTCATAGCTACATGTCTCTGAAGGAGAACTTTATCCTATGTACATGTTTGATTAACATTGATGATATGAGCCATCCCCAAATTGCTTTTTAACACGTTGACTGGCACACTAGAAAAAAAAAATGTTCCTTGGGTACACAGTGTTTTATTACAAAAATAGAATAAAAACTTTGAAAACAAAATGATCTTTTCTAATTTAATGAAACTTTTTCATTTTTTATTGTTTTCTGGGCATGAGTTATATGCAACTTGAAATATAGTTCACGTGGCTCAAGGTAAAGAGACGTGTGAGTTACATATACTTCACAAGGCCCTGGGCTCCAAACTAACATAAGTTAAATACAACTCACATGGCAGTTAATGTGTTAATAAAAGGTCTTTGCAAGGCAGAGCCTTTACATATGTGAATAAAGGTACATGATGAGAATATTGTAAGAAAACAGAATATTATAAGCATAATAATATTGGTCAAATATTAGAATAAAGCAACTTACTTTGGCTTTGAAGTCTGTGCATACAGAAAATCAAATAGGGTGTGAGGTGTGAGTAGCTACGTTTTATTTTTTATAGAATCCTTGTATTTATATTCCAATTAGTTATCATAATATACTTTCACATAATTCTCTCTATATAGAGAAAAACTATAGTGCTAAAAGATAAATTGATAATTCTTTCTTGGTTATTCCAAGACTACTTTAAAAAGAGAAAAATAATTTACAGTGAATATTAGAGATGGTTTTCTTGCCGAATAAATTGTAGAGTTAAAGCAGATAAAAAAAAGGATGTTAAATAGACCCAGGACATTTCAGAAAATGTAATTCCTAAAACTAAATTTTCCGACAAATGAAATACGGGAAATAATGAGAAAAACCATGGTACAGACCATGCCCTTTATTTGGAATAATTCCCTTAGGAAAATTCATATGCAAATTCTGGGTCCTAGGACACATTTTCCAAATGTGGTAGACCTTAAGACATTTGTGGTCACAGTTTCTAATTGATCATAAATTATAGGAATGCAGAAATGGAAACTGACATTTAAAAATCTTGATGTTTTAGTGTATAATTCTTGCTAATAGGATTTGAGTTCATGCCTAATTGCATTTGTGATCAATGTTCAAGTAGAGCTTTCTTGTTTTTGTTTTTTTTAACGTTCATGCCTAATTAGGCTTTATCGAGGGAGGTAGATACTAGGAATTTCAAGTTTGCAACCATTCATTTTTAACATAGCTCTTATTTGATTTCTTTAAGAACCAAATGTGTTACTTTTAAACTTAAAGATAAATATACTATTTACCCTATTTTTCTTTCACGACAGATTAAATACAAAGAAAAATTTGATAATGAAATGAAGGATAAGAAACATCATTACAATCCTCTTGAAAGTGCTTCTTTTAGGCAAAATCAGCTTGCTGCTATATTGGCAAGTAATGTAAGTTGTAATTCGTAGAAAATTATTTTCAATATCTTTTGATTTTTGTTTTCTTAGAATCAACTGTGTGTTGTAATTACTCATACTTAATCAAAATCATATAGTTTCCAAGTAATTTGTAGCCGAACTGAAGCATGTTTTTCTGAAGCTCTTTCTGAGAAAAATGTATTATTGTAATTTATTATTAATGGTTACTGATTACTAATAGTAATAGTATTGCAATGAAATTATTATTTCTGATCAAGAGTAGAAATAGATTATAGAGTTTTGCAGAAAAGAGTTCTATATTGCCACAAATTAGTGGTTAGGACAATAGTTACCTCATGTAATTATGCCCGTGAAATTGAGTTTATTGTAAAGTATTACCTGGCACACGGTGGTTTATTATAAAGAAATTTTCAGAAACTGCACTTGTAATGACTTAAAATTTCTTTCTTATTCCCTATGAAAATACTATGAAATATTTCATAAGATTTGTTTTCATTTCATGTTTTTAAAAATAAGATTCATTTTTACAAGAAACAATGTTTTAAATTCTTATTAGAATTAAGCAGAGTATAAAAACAGAAACATCGAAAATATTGGTTACTTTGCTATAGTTGAAAATGTGGAGAGTTCATTTTTAAGTATGAAAATTAAATATTGTCAAACTGTTGCTTTGTTAGATAATTTAAGCCTGTCAACTCCCATCATCTCCTTGGGACTTAGTTTATTTTGCTTTTATTAATGTTTAGAAGGTATTGTTATTTGTGTTCAATAACCAACTTTTGTTTGTTTCCAGCAATTGAAATGGTTGTTTCTGTCTTTTAGGACCCCTGGGAATATCAGAATGATTTCTTTTTCTTGTTTGATTATTTTTTGTATGTGTACATACATTAAAGGAAATAGAAATGAAATAGACTTAAAGGAATCTAGAACACAGTCCTGAAAGCTTAAGGTTTAGAATCAGATGGCCTGGACTTATATTCTGTTCCATAATTTACTATTATGCCTTCAGCTTTCTGTGCCTCAGTTTCCTCATCTGTAAAATGGTGATGAATACTTAAAGTACCTACCTACTGGCGTTTTTGCAGAGATTAAATACTTAATACATATAAAGGGGTTAGAAAAGTCTTTGGCACATAGTAAGTGCTCTATATGTTTGCTATTATTAATATTTTATTATTATTACTAGTGTTTTATTTCCAAAGTGGTTGGTTAAAAAATAAAAATGTCTATATGGTTATAGGATGAAAAACACCAAAAGCCTAAAATCACCACAAAGCATAATTGCAATACTGTAGTAATTTTTAAAGAATAAAGTTGCTATTCTCTTTATTTTTTGAAAGCAGAGTCTTAGTGAAAATTATGATTCTGTTAACATCACCCTTCCTGAATATGTAAACAATAAAAGGGATTATCAAAAGATTTTCCAGTGTATATAGTAATACAACTTTTTTTTAACTCATTCAGTAGTAAATCAGCACCATCTAGTGGCTACTTGTAAATTCGTCTGTCAATTTACCACTAAATAGTACCACTTTATGATGTATTAAGATTAATACAATAATGCAAAAGCAAAATATTTCCTTCTCCTAGATGGTATTTTCTTCCATGTTATTTTTATAGGTGAAGTACAAGAAAGACATTCAAAATATGCACGATCCAGTTTCAGATCTCCCAAATTTGTTGTTTTTAGACCATGCTTTGAAAGCCAGCAAAATGCTCAGCGGAGTAAGTGCGTCATTTGACGGCAACTGTAGATGTCGTGTGGCCCCAAGAAGCCAGTGCACCTGCAGTGCTTGTGGGCTCACCTGCTGCCTTAGACATGCCTGTGCGTCACTCCTCCCTCAGTGACTAACTCGACAAAAAGTAGCGATCTGCTTGCATAAAGCCCACCAAAGCTGCCGCTTTACGAAGGGGGTTCTTGCTAGCTCTTTAGTGTCTCTTGAATACAACTACACTTCAAAGTGTTTGCGTGAGTGTCCTTTCTGTCTGTCTTCTTCTTCCCCTTTCTTCGTCTGTATTAGATTAAAACCACTTGAAATTCAGGCTCTCAAGTCAAGGACCTTTTATTTTATGCAAGCCAGACCAGAGTGTCTGATAGTTAGTAACATAAAACAGTAGCATAAAACATTGTCTTAGTCTGAACTGTATTTTTTCTGAAAGTCAATGCTAAAGGTGGTTATATTACATTGACAATATGTTTTTAGTCTCATGATGGTTTCCTTGTTCTTAGTCAAGGCAACCGGAGGGGAGGGTGAAGTTCTTCTTTAAGTCTTGTTGGAAATATTTGTGTTCTTAGTGCATCTGGACCCTAACCGTACATCTCAGGATGTCCCAGGCTGATGACGAACTCTAATTTGACCTCAGATTATTTCCATACCTATTTTTATCTATCACCCACTCAAAAGTATCCTAATTTATTGAATATCTGCTTTGGCAAGGCCCAGATCAGATGGAGAAGCATATATTGGGCAAGCCATGAAAAAAAGTAAAGATAATTGTCTTCAGTAGACATGCCCATGGTCACAGACCTAAAAATCTGTAGTCAAAACCTGGTTTCCAAACAGTTGAATAATGAGATACAGCTTCAAGTCAGTTTTAGAAATATCTGTACTTGGCTTCAATATATTGAATCTTATATGCATGATTTTGCAAGCCTCCTTTCTCGAACATCAGCACCGCTGTCATCCTTCCTGAATCGTATTATGCATGTAAATAGTTTGTACTCGCAGAGATTTGTTTACTTACTTTTTTTCTTTAATCGCTGATCCTTGGATGAAAAGCAGAACATCATTCTTTCCAGGCTGTTGAGCAGGGAACGGAGGTTAGAGGAATAATTGACAGGCCCAGAATTAGCACTCGGTCCCAGGGCGCTGAAATCTGACTGTCTTGCCATTTCAGTGTTCATTCCTTTGTGCATATTCCTCTGTTCCTGGAGTGTCTCTGTCTCAGTGTCATGTTCTTCTCAAGAACTCATAGACAAGCTTCTAAAATTGATATATTTCCATTCTGTGAGCTCTCTGCTTTCTTATGCAGTCTTTGGAGTTTGGTTTTGATCATGGCGGTAGTAGCATTTGCCCTTGACTTTTCCCTGTCCATACTTGGGTTAAATTTCCTAGGGACATGAGGATTCATGTGTAGAGAAGCCAATAAAAATATCATAATGGCAATTTAAAAATTTGGTAGCTTCAGGAAGACATGCCACTCATAGGCAATATTTCTTTTCAGGAATGTTGAACTTTATTTGATAATAATGGTGAAAAAAAATCACAGTTGAATATAAATTGTTTCTATCATCTCTTCAACAGAGAAAACCCAGCAAAGTCATTTGTTATATTTATTTTATATATCATTTATAATGTTTAAATTTTCATTCACATGTTGCTTTTGCCTAGAGCACAGAATTTTTTTCCCCATAGAAAAATTGTGACTGAATGATCACTTCATTGGAGACAAGGCTTAAGACTTAAAAAATGCATGACTCTGAAGTATCTATTTATTACAGTTATACAATAATACATTGACTCAACTGTATTATACATTAGAATAGCCTACCTTTAAATTTTGATGTAAAGAGAATTGGAAGTTTATTGATTTATAAAGGCAGTTTAATTATATTAAAAGATTGAGTAAAAGATTATTCAATAAACAGACATTCTGCTGAAATTAATTATCAGTTTGTTATAAGTGGCTGTTTTTTTAAAGACCTCTAGATGTCTTTGGCACATATCAGAATTATTTTTGTTTTAAAAAGTAGTGAATAGAATAATATGAGTGCCTCATGAGTTTGTACAACCATACTAATTAAATTCCTGAGGAAACATTTTCCCCTTGAAAAACGGACCTCTTCAGTTCAGCTTCTTTTATAACTTTCCGTAAATTAAAAATATACATATTGTGTTATTCTGCTTAACTCCCACTAGGAGGCAACAGAGACTATTAGATGGAGGAAAACAAGCATTAGAAATTTCATTTGTAGGTTTTAGTTCAAATAAGTTTTCATTATTATTATTTAAAATAGGAGTTTCTGAGATTCTTTGTAATTAAAATAAATAATTGTCTTGAGAATAATATTTTTTGACCTTTTCTCAATATATATAAGATAGGCTTTATTCTGGCACTTGAACTCAGTGATGGAATATATTTTAGCTTATTACATTCAAGTCATGAATCTTATAAATATGTTATAAAATAACTTCTGATCAAATTATAAGGTCTCTAAGTATATTATTTTTATTTTACCTTTTCTGTTTTGTTTTGTTTTGTTTTTTAGAGACAGGGTCTTGTTCTGTCACCCAGGATTATAGTGGCATGGTTATAACTCACTGTAACTTCAAACTCCTGAGCTTAAGTGATCCTCCTGCCTTGGCCTCCCAAAGCACTAGGATTACAGGGGCGCCCATCATGCCTGGCCTTCTAAGCATATTATTATTTTTTGAGATTATCTTTTTTTATTTTCAGTAGAGGAGCCAAAATTTAGAACTTGTTCTCTTTAGTCAAGATATGCTATGTGAATATTTTAATGACCTTTTTGGGGTGCTCTTCTCCTCATTTTCTTCTGGTTAGGGTTTTGAGGGGACACATATCTCAGCCCTCTGATTGAGTGGAAGCACATGAGGCCAGGCTCCCTCTGTCGGACCAACGTTGTGTTCTATGTGGAACCGCAGCTCCTCTGTGGCAGGTCACCTGGACTTTCTGTTTCTCCTGGTGCTGAGCTTTCCTCCCCTTTCACTCTCAAATCCCTGGAGCATCTCCTAAGAACCAGATGTGAATTCCTCTGTGGTTGGCTCTTTCCTGCTCCATTCAAATGCTGCTTGGCTATCCCTCCACTCTAAACAAAATTGCCATTTTTTTCTGAAACCCTCATTGCCCAAAGAGAAACTAACTTAAGCTTCTTAAGTCTCCGGAGTACTGATTCTTTGAGAACTATCATTTACTTCCAAAAGTCTTTTCCATATAGGGCAAAATAACTTGGTATCCAGTCTCCAATGGTAGAAATCATGAAGCAGTTTTTGTCTTATTGCTGTCTGGTACCTTTTGAGTCCTCCTGTGACCAAAGTTGTCATCTTCATCCAATCTGGTCTCTTCCAAATTCACCTTTGGCCTATATGTCTAAATAGTAGCCTTAATCCAATTTCTTCACCTTGAAAAATTTAACTGACTACCCCCAGATTTGTCAATTTCTCTTCCAGGCACCTCTTAGCCTTTCCTTTAGGAAAATTAATTGAATTATTAAATATTTCTCATCCTCTCATGTTCCATTGTGACCATCAGTCTTCTTCACAGTTGAACCTTTGTATATAACTTTTCTCTTTCTTGTTTCTAATTTCCTTCCCTTTGTTCTTTCTTCTTTTCTTTCCTTCTCTTCCTTTGGGTACAGTTACATACAGTCATTCCTGTTCTATGATAGGGGCAAGGCAAATTGCGTTTATTTCGCCCTATCTTGCTTATGACACGAGTGCCTTGACTAGCTTTTCCGCTGCCACTCTTTGGCGTTGGGAATGTCCTTTACAGCTAGTTGTCCTCTGCCTCTCCCGTGTATTCCATATGCTGTTCACACTGACCACCTAGAACTGGTCCCTTTTTATCTGTTTATCTCCTGTTTATCTCGGTGTTGGAAATCTCCTACGTGCCAGCTGACTGCGGATGGGGACTTGATAATAGCTTTGCAGCTCTAGGTGGCTTTATTTCTCAGTTTGCATTCCTAAGCATGAATTGCTTTAATCAGTCTCTTTGATTCTTAAACTTATTTTCATGTTCTCTATTTTAGCGAGAATATAAAAAGCTTTTTGAGGAAAACAAAGGAATGTATCATTTTGATGCAGATGCTGCCGAACACCTGCACCATAAAGGCAACGCCACCCTCCAGAGTCAGGTAAGGGCTCCTTGGGGTCACATCCTCCCTGCCAGGACCCTGTGAGCATCCTGACACCTGCCACTCACGGCCATGTACCTTGAATGAGAAGGTACAGTTGCTGGAAAGAATAGATACCAAGAAGGTTAACATTGCTTCGGAAAACCTCAAACACTATTTTCTACATATTTATTGGGTCAGGAGAGCTTGAACCACATTTCAATATAGAGGCATTTTATAAAATAACCATTACTTCACATAATTAAAAACTTACATGAAGTAATTAAACTGTGGTCAAATCTCATGATAATTTAAATTGTTATAGTGTACTGATTTGTCGTTTTGAGCTGCAACATTAATTTTCCAGGTGCAAGGTTTGTTTTAATTTCTTAGTTCAATTATAGTGTTCTAAAAAAGAGAAAATAATCTTATCAGTGTATTCTAGATTCATGTTTCTTCCAACTAAGAACTTCTGTGTATCCCTGAAAAAACTTAAAAGAAAATCTTTTTTCTTTTCTTTATATCTATTTTTAAATTCTGAGTTTAAGTAGTTGTAAAAGGTGTCATTTCCAGCATTTGTTAAGATAAAATTTTACATCCCTCTTTTAAATGTATTCTGTGAAACAAATTCCATAATGATTTCATAGTCACCTGCACTTATTTAAAAAATTTATAAACCAGCAATTTTACAAATTTACAAATGGAAAGTACATCATTTTTCTCTTTAAATTCTTAATTTCATTTCATTTTTTTCATAAACTTTTATCCTAAAGGCATATGATATTAATATTATACTTCCCACACTTTTATTGGCCACTTCATCATACTTCTCTGCAATAAAAATATATCTACAAATAGGTGTTTTGAAATTTGTCATGGTTCCTGTCACCATAATGTTCTAAATATTGAAAAATTTCTTTTGGGTTGAATTACCATTAGTGTCATTATTATTCTATAATTTAAATAATTCTTTAAATAATTATTAAAGATAAGAATTTTAATGAAAATACATTTCTGAAGGAAGCGAATTGTGGTCAAAACTTTTCTAGGAATATAAAAAGGTATATTGCTTAAAAAGCCAACCACTCTGATGGTTTACATATAATTTTCATTTTTTTCATTAGGAAATAGAAAATATTACTCATTTATAAACTGAAATAATATGAGGATTGACTATAATTGAAATAAATAATTTATATTGTGATATTATTAAGTGATACATAGTAAAACTGAAAGAAATTAGATAAAAAATCTCTGTATATTATTTACTCAGTGTCTATGAAAAAAATTCAGCAATCCCAAAAGACATTGTCCTATGCTTGCCAAAAAATGAAGAATCACACTTATGTTTTCTTTCTTTTTCTTTTTTTTTTTTTTCTTTGAGACAGAGCCTCACTCTGTCGCCCAGGCTAGAGTGCTGTGGCGTCAGCCTACCTCACAGCAACCTCTAACTCCTGGGCTCAAGCGATCCTTCTGCCTCAGCCTCCCGAGTAGTTGGGACTACAGGCATGCACCATCATGCCTGGCTAATTTTTTCTATATATATCTTTTAGTTGGCCAATTAATTTCTTTCTATTTTTAGTAGAGATGGGGTCTCACTCTTGCTCAGGCTGGTTTTGAACTCCTGACCTTGAGTGATCCTCCCGCCTTGGCCTCTCAGAGAGCTAGGATTACAGGTGTGAGCCACTGCATCCAGCCCAATGTTTTTTTTCTTGTTCATGGTTTACTAATAGACATAAAAGCTATCACAGGGACCTGTGTCTCTGTCTCTCTCTTTCTCTTTCTTTCTCTGTCTCTCTGACCTACCAGCGTATGTATACCATGTGCATATATACAAACCCATGTATATGATATGTACCTGTATGTCCCAGACATTTGATGAAATTTACAAGTCCTAGAACTACATTATTTAGTTGTCCTAAATTATTTTTATCACTTAAAACCTTTTACATATTACCTGTTTACTTTCTTTGCATGTCATTAATCAGAGGGTACCAAGTGGTCAACCTAAATGGCCAGAATAATTTGATTTTTAGAAAATAAGATGACTGATTTCAGACATATATTTGCTCTGTGTGTATAACAGCTTTTGATTTTTATATACTGTCATACTTTTTTTCAATGAAGGTAAAATACAAAGAGGAATATGAAAAGAATAAGGGAAAGTCAATGCTTGAATTTGTTGAGACACCATCCTACCAAGCTTCAAAGGAGGCTCAAAAGATGCAGAGTGAGGTGGGTCACTTGGTTTGTTACTAATTAAATACAGAAACCAAATAATTTGTTTAATGTATATTTGATGCTTGATCATTTGAAAGGAACTAGTAGAGTATAGACTACTGCTCTTGGCAGATTCAGGGACCTGTCTTCAAGACCTAGCCACCCATGGGTAAGATTTTGTCCACGTCTTTGGGTTTGTCTGGTCCTTTGTTGTTGAGTTTTTCTCATTCAGTGAATGTGGATCTCAAGCCACATGAGCTCTTTGTTTTTCAGTTATTTGCTTTTTAATTTCAGAATATTACGGGGGTACAAACATTTTGGTTACATAAATTGCTTTTGTTGTACCATTTGAATCAAAGTTGTAAGGGTGCCCATGCCCCAGATGGTGTGCACTGTCCCCATTGGGGGTAAATTTACCCATCCCTTCCTCCCCCTTCCACCGGCTTGATTTCTGATGAATGTTATTTCCATATGTGCACGTAAGTGTTGATCCATTAGTTACAATTTAATGGTGACTATGTGTGGTGTTTATTTTCCCATTCTTATGGCACTTCGCTTAGAAGAATCGTCTCCAGTTCCATCCAGGTTAATACAAGAGGTATTAGTTCACCATTTTTTTTATGGTACCACATTTTATTAATCCACTCATGTATCGATTGGCACTTGAGTTGTTTCCACATCTTTGCATTTGTGAATTGTGCTGCCACAAACATTCAAGTGCAGGAGATGAGCTCTTAAAGTCCCTGTTAGCTCTAATGTTCCATAATTATATAATCAATGCTTTCAGATTGTCTCAGTGTAAAACTATGATGAGTACATAAAAACTAAAAAGAAAATGAAGAACTGGTTGCTTTACATGCCTGTTTTTTTTGTTTTGTTTTATTTTGCAAAGACAATAGAACTACCATTAATTAAATACTCTGTGGTAGGTGATATGCTAAGAGCCTCATTTATGTCAGTGCCTTCAATCCCCCAAGTAATGATGGTAGGAAGGTATTCTCCGTAGATTTATAATGTATCTACTGAAATTATCTTAAATAAAATTATATCTCTCTAGTAAATGTCAATGTTTTAGGACCTGGTCAAAATCATGAAAGATTCCCTTTTCTTGGTTAGTTTATATCTTGGTGTGTTTTGTGCTGCTGTAACAGGAGAGCGCAGACTGGGAATTTATAAGGAATAGAGATTTATTTCTTATAGTTCTGGAGGCTGGGAAGTTCAAGATCCAGGAGCCCACACCTGGCGAGGGTCTTCTTGCTGTCTCATCCCATGGTGGAAGGTAGAAGAGCAAGAGAGCATGTGTATGCACCTGAGAGAGAGAGAGAGAGAGAGACAGACAGACAGACAGACAGACAGATAGACAGACAGATATAACTGAATTCAAACTCATCCTTTTATCAGGAATCCACTCCCATGATAACAAAGCCACTTCCATGATAATGGCATCAGTCCATTCATGAGTGTAGAGCCCTCATAACCCAATAACCTCTTAAAGGCTCCCCCCTCTCAACTGTTGCATTGGGAATTAAATTTCCAACACATGAACTTTGGGGGTCACATTCAAACCATAGCAACTTATTTAATTGATTTCGTTTTTCCTCCAATAAATAGTTAAGAGTTTTTCCTACTTAGCTACTTTATTCCTAAACACGATAATGCTATGTCCCATTAAGATATTCCCTACCTGTTTTTTTCTCTTTTCCAGTGAGATTTCTTTTTTTTTGGTCTGTGATTTTTTTAATTTTATTTCAGGATATTATGGGGGTACAAACATTTTGGTTCCACGTTATGACTTTGCCTAACCCAAGCCAGGATTGGAGGTGTGCCCTTCCCTCATATAATGCTCACCATGTCCATTAATTGTGAGTTTACCCAACCCCCAATGAATAGTATTACTGTGTGAGCACCTTAGCGTTGATCAGTTAGTGCCAATTTGATGACGAGTACAAAGTGGTGCTTATTCTTCATTCTTGTGATACCTCACTTCAGAGGATGGGCTCAAGCTCTATCCAGGAAAATATAAGAGGTGCTAGATCACCATCATTTTTTGTAATTGAGTAGTATTCCATTGTATACATATACTGTATTTTATTAAACCACTCATGGATTGACGGCCACTTAGGTTGTTTTTTTCCCTACTTTTTCAGGAACCAGACACACAAGGTTTTGTCTGCAGCTGACATCCAAATTTTATGGGTGCAGCTGGTTCTTCAAAAGGGCAGCAGTAGTTGACAGTAATATCAGCCGGTTACAACCTCAGTGCTTCGTGCGAGGCAGCCCCAGTGGGGAGGATCTTTTCTTTTGTCCAATAACAACTTCCAAATAGGGGGAAATGATGACTTATGTACAAAAGAGTCTTATAGGTATTTTGTAAGCATTATATGTGCTGTTTGTTGAAATGTTAGAATTCATCTTCTTAGGAAAAGGACACTCAGATATTACTGTGGGTTATTGAATAGTCAAAGTTGCTTAATTTCTTTTTTAAGCACAAGAGAAAAGAATTGTATTTTTTATGTTTTTTATTTTCTTAAGCCAACAAGGAGGAATCTAATAAAGAAATGTCAGGTAACTTTTTGACTAAATTAGCTGTTGACAGAAGTAGTACATTTGGTCAAAGTTCAGAAGCCCTACAAAAACTTACATTTAATGGAATACATTTTACTGGATTAACTTTTCTGCCTTTAGGTAACAGTATGTAATTTACATATCCTTTTACGTAGCTTTATTTGTCTTCCATTGTGGTGGTACTTTTTGGGTAGGCGAGAGCTGCCAAGTGAATTTCTCTGTTTTATAGGAATCATGTGGCCATTGTCACTGACCCATAGCTCAGAGAAAGGTTTCCACTTTGGGGAGCTGTCATGGTGCTTTCATTTAGTGAGTTCTCTGGAAGTTTAAGTCTCAGACTTTATGAAGTTGTAAAATAAATTTTCACTAAAAGATGCAGGGATCAAACATCTACTTTTCTGCAAATAGCCTCAGGAGGGAGGGTGGCATCAACAGTTCAGGCTCCTTCCTCCCCTGCCCCCTCTCTCCCTTTACCTCCTCTCTCTCCTCTTTGATCTTCATCCATAGAAACCTTCACACTGAGGACTCTTTCTTCATTCTGGTCCCATGGTTCCTTAATTATTTTTTCCTACTCTGACTAGTTAACTCTATTCTCACAAACCAATAAATCCTAGAACTTATAATTCATGGTTAGTATATTCTAATACCATGTTTCTGTATTAGAAATGATGGTCATTTATGATTTGCGATTTTAGCTTCTCGTCTTTCATTGTAAGTCTCTCCATTCTTCACCAGACTTATTCTCTCACTCCTGCCAAATGAGAGATGTTTTCCCTTTAATTATAGTCATTGACTATTAGATTTTTTAGGCTCAACAACTATGTTTTGAGGAGAGTGAAATCTTCCCAATAGAAAATATCTTTAGACGCAATTTATACCCTAAAGGCTAGAAAAATGAAGTAGCTAAAAATCTTAGAGAAGTTCAATGTGAAAAATGTCTTTAAATATAGGGCTAATGAAGTAGCTACGAAGAGAATGAACCATCGGTGCTAGAGATGGTTTTTATTCCTTCTAGAGGTAGGCTTGCCTGTGAAGTTTCTTGGGGAGCCTCCTATGGGTAAAGCTAAGTATATGATCTCAGGAAAAGCCACTGATATCTTTGCGATGGCCTGTAATTAAGTTTATCTCACTTTCTTCTAATGCCAGATGTAGGTTTAATCTGTGTGTTTTCTAGAAGAAATCTCCAAACCTGACTTTGAAATGTTGTTATCTTCTTTCTCAAATATAGCTTTCCTAACAAAAAGCATAGCAAAGGTTTTTTGGTTTTTTTTTTCTAGCTATATATTTTGGCCAACACTAGTCATAATCAACCTCCCTTCATGACTGACTTTAGTAAAATAGTTTTGTTTTGTTTTTTTTTCAGAGAAGGGCTTTTTGAAGTGAAATAGCTAACAGAAATAAATAAATAAATAAATGTGCATGTATTTATATTTCACCATTTAAAGAGTCCTTTTTGGCCTAGAAACGCCCTTCTAACCATATTATATCCACTGTTTCCACATAGGAAAGAAGACAGTTTCTCATCATTGTTCTTGGTACACCCATAGTTCTTTTGTTCAGAATGTTCTCAACACAACTTCTTAATTAGCTGTCAGGTTAGCAGAACATCCTTTGTGCCCTTCCTTGTGGTTGTACACACGTTGTTAAATAGCTGTATGTACTTAACACAAATGCTAAGTGAGGAGACAACAAGCTTCTGTTTTCCCTCAGGATTTGGAGAAATTATTTATCCAATTACCTATCTCTGTAAAAAATGCATAATGAACCTGGAAATAGCTATGCATTTTGCATGAGTGATAAGCTCATGCAGAACTTATTTATTTATATCATCTTTGTGATGCAATTTTGAATGAAACATTTGGTTGGTGAAATCTGGGCCCTTGTTTAATAAATCCTTCACATGGATAGATATTTTTGTGATTTAACAAAATGACAAAAATTTAACCGCTACACTAGAAAAAAAGTTTACTCTGGGGCTACAGTGTTTTATTACAAAAATAGAATAAAAAAATTCAAAAATTAAATGATCCTTTCCAATTTAGTGAAAAATTTGTTATTTTTTATTGTTTTCTGTGCATGACTCATGTGCACCTTACATAGCACTAGAATCAATTTTTACACTGCATACCAACTGAGTTGTTTGTGACTCATGACATACTTACTGAATTTGTTTCAGAGAATTGACTCTTCATTTGATTCACAAGGCCGTGGGCTCAAAACTGGCATGTGTTAAATACAACTCACATGGCAGTTAATGTGTTAAAGAGACTGGCTTATAGTCATAAAGCATATGTTACCACTGATTTTCAAGTGCGTAGAAATCAGAGAAGCATAGCCAAAGAGTGGTGGAGTATGCCAAAGGGGCGTCCGTTGGTATGAATCTTGGCCTTCTACAATCGCCATCTATAATCCCCTTTCATGTCTTGTGAAATCTCACCTATACAAGGATTTTTCAGGTTTCCAGTAAGATTTTTCTCACAATGTAACTTGATTCATATCAAACTCCTTAAGAGGGTAGAGGAATATTCTCAATGCCAAATTCATTAAAGGAAAATTTCTCCTTCCACCAACCCAGCCTCCGTTACACTTTAGAAGTGGTATTTCCTGAGTTCCCAAAAGACTGACAGTGAGAAAAGGATGATGGATACATTGGTTTGAATGGGTCCAGGCTACCAGATTGTCTTCCAGTGACGAACCCACTCACTTTTGAGTAAACGAATTAGGTGATCCAGTCAAACAACCAATCTTACTGGTTCCCCTCCTAAAATGAGCTGTTAATCATAGATTACTAGTAAGTTGTTAACTAACCTTGCTAGAATGAATTACCAGAGGAAGGCTATAATAATTTTGCTTTTGTTTGGTAGAATTCCAAAATTTATAATGAAGTTGAATTTTTTTTTCCCTGTTGGTAAGATGACCCTCAGGTGATAGAATTAAATAAGAAAACATCAGTTTTGTTCCAGGGACTCACTACTATTTCCTAAATGTAAAATTATGTTGTCTTATTTAACAGAAAAGTTACAGAGAGGATTTTGAGAAAGAGATTAAAGGAAGGCCATCGCTGGATTTAGATAAGACTCCAGAATTTCTGCACATGAAGTACATCACAGGCCTTCTGAGGGAGGTATGAGCCTGCTGTTGACTGTTGAATAATCATAAAAGAAATAACTCAGATGTTTACTTGGTTCTCTACTAATGCAGTGTTTGAGGTATAAATTACCTAGTGTTCTTTTTCACACTTTGACCTTTACTAATAAAGTTTTGCATTTTCATTAAAAACAGAAAAGTGTGTGTTAACATTCTTGTTTGAAGTTGAGGGAAGAAATTACTCATATTTCCTGGGAAAACGTGAAGAATGATCAGGTTTTGTGTTTTAATTGTTGCTTAGAGGCTCTCTGTGTAGTTTTCTAGCTTTATGGCTGTGGGTTTTAAAAAAATACTTTGAATACGGGTGGGACAAGCTTGATTCTTTCAAATTTAGTTATGATAAAAACATACTTCGGAATTAACTTTTTCTGTATCTTCCCTGCTGCAACCCCATGACATTTGGTGTCAGAAATGCGGTGCTTGCTTACCTGTGAAGGTCTGGAGAAAGGGGAAGTTATTTATAAGTAGTTTGAGTTCTAAGCAGGGAAAAAATAATATATTTAGCATAGAGAACAGAGAAACTCATGTCCATTTTTCATTTTTTTCTCTATGGGATTCCCTCCCCTAAACTGAATGGTGCATTTGGCTCATAAGTAATATTTTAAATTTGTTAAACATTAAAATCCTTGAATCTAACAATTAAGAATATCATGCTCACAGTCCATCTTTTTAAAAGCTTGTCTTTTTTTTTTTTAAATGGCTGAAAAATAACTTAGAGCTCTTCCAAATCTGCTTAAAGGCTCTCTTTATATTAAGGGGAAAGTGTTCCCTTAATATAAATGGGATATATACTCATGGAATATATATATATATATTATATTTTATAAGTTATATATTTTACATATATAAAAGTATAATTCCATTTCACCTTGAATTTTTGAACTGAAGAAACTATGCCTGAAAGAAATGTCTTAAATCAGTGAAATAAATGAGTATAATTACCTATATAGAAGCGCATCACCATGAACTTCTTTACTAGGCAAATTCCAACTGGCCATGTCGTTTAAATGGTTTTAGAAGTTTAATGTGATTCACTGTCATAATATATGTTGTGTTGAAATAGACATATAATTTCTGTAGGAGTTCTCTGGCTACATTCTCTTTTCATTTCTAGTTACTACAAAAATTTTTGAAGTTGAAGGCTAATCAAATGGCAGCGTCCTACTATTAATGTCTTCCATTTAAAAAAATGCACATTTATATGAATTTTTAAGGGATAATATTTTCATCATTTACACACAGATGACAATGTGAGATCTATTTTGAGATCTATAAATGACTTTAATACATGCCATACCTTTTTATTTTATTCTTCTTTTTGAGTGAGTTTTATTTTATACTTACTGATTCAGAATGTCTATGTCAGGGTAGGAAAAGGCCCAGAAGACTATTGTATTGGTCTGCTCCAGGCTGTTATAACAAAATACCACAGACTGGATGGCTTAAACAATAGATATTTCTCCAAGTTCTGGAGACTGTGAAATCCACGATGAAGGTGCCTGCAAATTTGATTCCTGATGAGGGCTGTCTTCCTGGCTTGCAGACGGATACCCTCTTGGCTGTGTCCTCACAGAGGTGGGGGTGGTGGTGCCGAGAGCAAGAACTCTGGTCTCTAGTTCCCTCTTCCTATAAAGACATTATTCCCTTTATGGGTGTCCTACCCTCACAACCTCATCTAAACCTAATTACCTTCTAATGGCCCTGCCTTCAAATACCATCACAGTGGGCATTAGGGCTTCAACATGTGAATTTAGGGGGATGTATACAATTAGTCCATAATGACTATGATGCTCAGTCAAATAACCTAGCACAGAAAAACAAATGCCACATGTTCTCACTTCTATATGGAATCTAAAACAATTGGGCTCATAGAGAGTAGTGGTGGTTATGGAGGCTGGGGTTTGAGGTTGGTTAAAGGGTGTAAAACCTCAGTTATACAGGAGGAATAAGGGTTTTTATTGATATCTATTGCATAGTGTGGTGAATATAGTTAATAATAGTGTATTGTATGTTTCAAAAGTACTAAGAAAGTAAATTTCAGATGTTCTTATCACAAAAGGTGATAAGTATTTGAGGTGATGGATATGATAATTAGATTGATTTAATTATCTGATCTTGTATTCATAAATTATGAAATTGCTTCCCACCCCATAAAGATTGCCAATTTCCAATGAAAAAATTTAAAACTTTTAAAAAAGATTAACTTAAAAAAAGTTATAGAGATACCTAATTGAAAAAAGGACCTTTGGTGACTTGATGGAATTGTCACTTTCTAAGGGTGAGCATTTAGCTTCAAATGGACTTTGCAATTTTTACTTTATGGTTTTTACATTTACATCGCTGTTTAGAGTGTTCAGAGTATCATTTTATACTTCATTTCCCCCATTGCCCTTTGACATTGGTTGAACAAGTGTTCTTATTTTCATTTTGCCAGAGTGGAAATCAAGGCTGAGTTACTTAAAAGTTCTCCTCAAGGTCACACAACCAAAAAATGGAAAAGCTCTTTTTCTTGGGTCATTTGACTCAGAGATCATTCCAAAATTATAAGCAGGCCATGCCAATGTCCAGTAAGCTATTAGTTGAGCAGAGGACAGGGTAATCTAATTATACTGGACTAAGGGAAAATAACATGAAATGAACCCTAGAAATGAACCCTAGAATTAACTGGAACCTGATTTTTTAACATTAAAGGAAGTTTTGTCTTTCCTCTGACAAGTTAGTGATAAATACAACCTAGTTGAATGGGAATAGGATATTTATTGTTTTCATAATGTAATTAAATAAGAAAAAAAGCAATTCATTAGCAGAGAAAAATTATATATAAGTACTCACAGAAGACATTTGAAGCCACTTAAAATGTGATATTAAGATAGATGAAATTCAAACTATGTATTATAAATATGTAGGAAATTATTTGGTTCTACAAACCTTTAAATAAAATGGAAACTTTGGTTTTTAACTTTGGCTACATCAATCCTTTTGATTTTGTAATTTTTCATTCTTTTTCAACTATGTCCCTTTTTGATAATTCATGTTTTCCAGACAAATTTCAAAAATACTTCAAATAATTAATAAGAAGTATGCATTCTTGACATCTTCCTTACCATTTAATGGGAAGATCTCTTTTAAAAATGTGGGGTTTTATAGTACCAAAAGATACTGAGAGAAAGTATGAAAGGGAGAAGACTGTGAACATTGGAAGCCACTCTAACTTGACGAGGAGAAAATGAAGTGTCTGTAGGAAGTACCCATGAACAAACACTCAGCAGTCTGATTCATTCCACCCTTGTAATTTTTTTCTTTTCTGTGATCTCTAGAAAACATGTGAAATAGTATACTGATTAAAGTGATTCCTGGTGAGTTGTGAACTATAATATTCTTGTCTTACAGAAAGAATATAAAAAAGATTTGGAAAATGAGATAAAAGGGAAAGGAATGGAACTTAATTCAGAAGTTCTTGATATTCAAAGAGCAAAGCGAGCATCTGAAATGGCTAGTGAGGTGAGTATATTTATTTAACAACTTAGAATGTGTACGTTTTTAGCTGACTTCCTTATTGGTGAATCTTTCTCTCAGAGTCTCTATATCCCACAACATTTATGTGTAGATGATTGTAAGCAGCTATATATCCTAGTAGGCTTTTTCCAGATAATGAATTTTTTTAAAAATTTGATGTTCACCATCTCCTTCCTAACTGATGTGAGAAAAATGGCCATTTTCTCATTTGGAGAAAATCTGTATAATAAACCAAAATAGTTTTATGAGATTTAACTCCATCTTTTAAGCAAGTAAAAGGCAGAAGATTGGGAAAGTGTGGTATTATGGTCTATCAGCAATTGCAGTCGGAAGGTTCACATGCTCTCCTGCTCGTAACCGAACTGATGGTCCCATTCCTCATGAGCCTGCTGAGTGAGCCTGGTTAAATACCTTTGTCACATGAAAGTGGCTACTGATCACTTTATAAGAAGGGATAAAATGTCTCTCAGTACTTTCAGTCCTTTAATACTTGTATTATGTCACTAGTTTGGGATCACATAATGACACTATGTTTTGAGGAGAATCTAGCTGAATTTAGCAGTGAAAAAACCTTAAAGCCATGTCCCCATATTTTCATAAAACATTGTGATAATGATGATGATAACCCTATTAGTCAGGTTGCAAATGATAGAAGCCCAACTCAAACTGGGTTAAGCAACAAAGGGGATGCTTCAGCTCATGGAATAGAAAAGTCCAAAGATGGAATTGTAATACTATCAGGTTGGAATTCAAATGATGCCTCTCTTCCTTCATCTCTCGATTCTGTTGTTTTCTTTATTGGCTTCATTCTTGGTAAAGCTGTCTCCAAGTAATGACCCTTCTTAGTAACAAGAGAGCTCATATCTATGGTCAGTAATCCCAGTAGGAAGTGAATATGTATGTGTGTGTGTGTATGTGTATATATATATATATTAATTCTAATTAAAGTCCAAGGACTGAATCTCCTTGAATCAACCTCTGGATCCTGTGCTCACTCACACCTGATGCGGTCATTATATCTGGGGTCGGGGGAGTGCAACGTGCTCATTGGCCTCTCATGGTCACCTATTTGTTTAAGTACTTTAATGGCATCTTAAGTAAAACATTCTACATTCTTACTTTTTTTTTTTTAAATTCATCTTAATCTTGGCTATCTTCAAGTTATTTCAATAAATTCAAGGAAACATTTTAAAAGCATTTTAGTAGCATTAAAAATACATGTGAGGAGTAGGGAGGTGATGGAAATAAACACCCCCACCCCCCAAGTGTATGGATTGAAAAGGGTTAGAGGTCATTCCCCAGAAGAAAGCTGTGAGATCGTTGCCAGAGGAGGAATGGAGCCTGGTCGGGCACAAACAACAGATGTCCACAGTGAGGTCTGTGGCTGACGTTGTCATCACACGATCCCTACGTTAGTCATTTTCTGCAAATCCTCCTGTAGCATTGACATGTCCAATCCACATGCAGAGGTCATTCTTGTAATCACTTGTCGGTAATAATTGTAGAAATTATTTTAATCTCTTGATGGCAGGGTCCAGCCAGATGCAGTTGAATGGCAGGATGGTGGTAAGAGCAGTGTTAATCAGGCCTTACTAGGAGAAGCAAAGACTGGCCTAGGGGAATGAAAGACTATAGGAATGAAAGACTAGAAGGTGTCACATACTGAGCAACTACTCTGGGCTCTGTGCCATGGGGTGTCTCATTGATCCTCGTGGGGATCTTGCGGGTTTGGTTGCAGACCACCGCAATAAAGCAAATATCACAATAAAGCAAGTCACACAGATTTCTTGGTTTCCCAGTGCATATAAAAGTTATGTTTACACTATACTGTGGTCTATGAAGCATTCAATAGCATTATGTCTAAAAAATCTACATAGCTTAATTAAAAAATACTTTATTGCTTAAAAAAATGCTAACGATTATGTGAGCCTTTAGTGAGTTGTAATCTCTTTGCTGGTGGAGGGTCTTGCCTTGTTGTTGATGGCGGCTGACTGATCACAGTGGTGGTTCCTGAAGGTTGGGGCAGCTGTGGCAATTTCTTAAATGAAGACAACAGTGAAGTTTGCCATATCAACTGACTCTTCCTTTCATGAAAGGTTTCTCTGTAGCATACGATGCTGTTTGATAGCATTTTTACTCACAGTGGACCTGCCTTTAAAATTGAAGTCAGTTCTCTCAAACTCTGCTGCTGCTTTGACAACTAAGTTTATGTAATATTCTCAATCCATTGTTGTCATGTCGACATTGTTCACAGCATCTTCACCAAGAGTAGATTCCACCTCAAGAAACCGCTTTCTTTGTTTCATGCATACGAAGCAACACCTCATCTGTTCAAGTTTTATCATGAGACTGCAACAATTCAGTCATATCTTCAGGCTCCATTTCCAATTCTAGTTCTCTTGCTATTTATAGCACATCTGCAGTTACTTCCTCCATTTAAGTCTTAAACCCCTCAAAGTCATCCATGAAGGTTGGAATCAATCTCTTTCAAACTCTTGTTAATGTTGTTACTTTGACCTCTTCCCATGAATCACGAATGTTCTTATGGCATCTGGAAGGGTGAATCATTCCCAGAAGGTTTCCAATTTTGCTCAGATTCATCAGAGGAATCACCATCTATGGCAGCTATAGCCTTACAAAACATATTTCTTAAATAATAAGACTTGAAAGTCAAAATGACTCCTTGATCCATGGGCTGAAGAATGGATGTTGTGTTAGCAGGCATGAAAACAACATTCATCTCCTTGTACCTCTCCATCACAGCTCTTGCGTGACTAGGTGTATTGTCAATGAAGAGTAATATTTTGAAAGGAATCTTTTTTTTTTCTGAGCAGTAGGTTTCAATAGTAGGCTTAAAATATTCAGTAAACCATGCTACAAACAGATGTGCTGTCATCCAGACTTTGTTCTATTTCTAGAGCATAGTGAGAGTAGATTTAGCATAATTCTTAAGGGCCCTAGGATTTTTGGAATGGTAAATATGTATTGGCTTCAACTTCAAGTCACCAGCTGCATTAGCCCCTAACAATAGAGTCAGCTTGTCCTTTGATGCTTTGAAGCCAGGCATTGACTTCTCTTTTCTAGCTATGAAATTCCTAGATATAATCTTATTCTAATATAAAGCTGTGTCATCTACATCAAAAATCTGTTATTTAGTGCAGCCACCTTCATCAGTTATCTTAACTAGATCTTTGGATAACTTGCTACAGCATCTCCATCTGTACTTGCTGCTTAATCTTGCACTTTTATGTTATGGAGATGGTTTCTTTCCTTCAACCTCATGAACCAACCTCTTCTAGCTTCCAGATTTTCTTCTGCAGCTTCCTCACCTCTCTCAATCTTTATAGAATTGAAGAGGGTTAGGGCTATGCTCTAAATTAGGCTTTAGTTTAAGAGAATGTTGTGGCTGGTTTGATGTTATTTCTCGACCATGAAAAACTTTCTCCACATTAGTGCTAAGGTTGTTTAGCTCTCTCATCACTTATGTATTCACTGGGGTAGCATTTTAATTTCCACCAAGGCCTTTTCCTTTGCATTCACAGCTTGGCTAACTGTTTGGTGCAAGAGGTCTAGCTGTCTGCTTGTCTTGGATTTTGACATGCCTCCCTCACTAAGCTTTTCACTTCTAGCTTCTGATTTAAAGTGAAACATGTGACTCTCCCTTTCACTTAAGGTCATTGTAAGGTTATTAAATTGGCCTAATTTCAATATTGATCACCTAGAATTAAATTTTCTGCATTGCTTAAAACTATAATCACTGTTCTCACTAAAGAAAGGTATATAAAGCTCTGAAGACCTTTAGTATAATAAGGCAATTGCCAGGTGAGAATCTTCACTGACAATTGTCCTGGGGGCTGGAGGAGGGGGCGGTGCGTGCACGAGAACTCGTGTCATACAAAGATTTACTTTGAGGCCAGAGCACTCAATAGCTGGGTAACACTGGGTTTCTTAACTTCTCTGGTTTACTCATCTGCGAAATGGAGGTGATAATGCACACATTCCTTGTTTTTATAGCACTTCACTTTATTATGCTCCATAGATAATTGCATTTTTTACAAATTGAAGGTTTGTGACAACCCTGAGTTAAGCAAGTCTATTAGCACCATTTTTCCAACAGCATGTGCTCACTTTGTATCTTTGTGTCACATTTTGGTAATTCTTGTGATAGTTCAAACTTTTTTCACTATTTTTACATCTGTTATGGTGATCTGTGATCAGTGGTCTTTGATGTTACCACTATAATTGTTTTGGGGCACCATGAACTGTGCCCATGTAAGATGGTGAACGTAGCGATAAAGTTGTGCATGTTCTGACTGCTCCACTGACTGCCTGTTCCTCCGTCTCTCTCCTTCTCCTCGGGCCTCCCTATTCCCTGAGACACCGAAATATTGAAATTAGGCCAATTTAATAACCTTACAATGACCTTAAGTGAAAGGGAGAGTCACATGTTTCACTTTAAATCAGAAGCTAGAAGTGAAAAGCTTAGTGAGGGAGGCATGTCAAAATCCAAGACAAGCAGACAGCTAGACCTCTTGCACCAAACAGTTAGCCAAGCTGTGAATGCAAAGGAAAAGGCCTTGGTGGAAATTAAAATGCTACCCCAGTGAATACATAAGTGATGAGAGAGCTAAACAACCTTAGCACTAATATGGAGAAAGTTTTTCATGGTCGAGAAATAACATCAAACCAGCCACAACATTCTCTTAAACTAAAGCCTAATTCAGAGCATAGCCCTAACCCTCTTCAATTCTATAAAGATTGAGAGAGGTGAGGAAGCTGCAGAAGAAAATCTGGAAGCTAGAAGAGGTTGGTTCATGAGGTTGAAGGAAAGAAACCATCTCCATAACATAAAAGTGCAAGATTAAGCAGCAAGTACAGATGGAGATGCTGTAGCAAGTATTTTAAGAAATACATTTAGCTATTTTTTGGTATCATTGACTACAGATATATGTTTGTCCACTGAGTATTTGACTGTTGTAAAATATTGCCTTGACAGAAAGAATATAAGAAAGACCTGGAGTCAGAAATTAAAGGGAAAGGAATGCAAGTTGACATTGACACCCTTGAAATACAGCGAGCCAAGAAAGCGACTGAGATAGCGAGTGAGGTTAGTAGGGTGAATGACGCAGACCTGGATACTCATGCTTTGGAACTTAACAAATCACATTAGCAGCATGCTCAGTACATGGAATTTTGCAAAGCTTTTTGGCCAGTTTAACAGTTTGGAATGGAAACCATTCCAAAGTATTATGCTTATTTGAAAATTTACATATTTGGTTTTGCTCATGTCCTTTAAATATATCAAAGGAAAATTAGGGAAAGGCATTTTAATAGAATACACACATACCACATATATATATATATATATATATATATATATATATACATACATACTCCGCTGTACACCTTATTCTTTAATACAACAAATTTCATGTTAATGTAGGCTATGTTAGTGTTTTTGTGTTTTTTTATTCTTGTAAATATACATCATGTGCTGCTTGGCACGTCTGTGTTTCCAACTTTTTGAGCAGAACTTGGAAATCACACATTGAGAATTGAGACTCTAACATGAAAACGATAGTCATTTCTGTGTGATTACATTTTCTTAAAAATATCCTCTCTCAACTTCATTGCCATATGGGGAATTTCTACAGAGTCAGCATTTTGGGTAGAGGTATTATATATCCTGAATGACCATGTTCACTCTGCTCATACCATTTTCCCTGTCATTGAATACGTGTAGCAACAGGATATTAATTTAGAAGTTTTTTCTTAGATGCTATGATATGATAGATATCACATCACAGAGATATAGGAGTCAGACCATATGTGTATTAATATTTTTCAAAGGAAATTCCCCAGAACTGGTTCCACGCCTCTTGAACTTCCTCAGCAATTCCAAGAATATAAAAGGATCACTCGAGTGAGGAGTATTTGGGATGAATGATCTCATAAGAAGTGTATGTGAAGAGAAAGCTGGGTTGCAGGTTAAAAGGTGTTGCCCACATATTTCTGGGCTCGTTAGGTAGGGGCTTCACTGGGGCTCCTCTGAGAGCTGTTATGTGATCCTTGCAATTAGCAGGAGCTGAGGCAGGACTGACTTCCACCTCTGAAAGGCTAGAGTTAGCCACTTGACTATGATGGGAGTTATTGCTGTGTTAGGGATTACCTGCATCTCCTGGGTTAGGCACCATCCAGGGAAATAGGGTTGCTATGATTGGTTTAGAAAAAGAACTGGCATGGCATAGGATTCCTGACCAGGGCTCCATTCAGAAGTGGCAGCCAGCAGGTGTGGTGGCTCACACCTGTAATCCTAGCACTTTGGGAAGCTGAGGTGGGAGGATTGTTTGAAGTCAGGAGTTAGAGACCAGCCTGAGCCAGAGCAAGACCCCGTCTCTATGAAAAATAGAAATTTAGCTGGGCATGGTGGTACACATCTGTACTCCTACCTACTCAGGAGGCAGGGACAGGAGGATCGTTTGAGCCCAGGAGTTGGGGGTTGCAGTGAGCTACTGCACACGAGCCTGGGCAACAGAGTGAGACCCTGTCTAAAAGGAATAAAATGAAAAGAAGTAGGGACCAAGAAGGGTGAATTCCAGGATCACAACCAACACTTACTCACTACAGAGTGAAAGCAGCAATTTTACAATAAAGTTTTTTTCCACAAGTTAAAATTCTTTCTTGTTCTATAGAGATAAAAAAGGGTCCAACTTGATTCCAAAAGACATGGTCCTGATTTAAAAAAGGACATCATAGTTTTCCAGCACAGTTTTTGACATGATTGGAAAGCCCTGACCAAGTGTCTTATTTTCTGCAGAAAGACTATAAAAGAGATCTGGAGACTGAAATTAAAGGGAAAGGAATGCAGGTGAACACAGACACTCTTGATGTCCAGAGAGCTAAGAAAGCATCCGAGATGGCCAGCCAGGTATGAAAGTAGTGGGATATAAAGTTTAATACAAACGCATTGAATCCTATATAGAAATAATGTAAATGTTATTTTCACGTGGGTGGCTTTGATATTTAAGCACGTAAATACCTACGTTGCTATCAAAGGTGAAGCAAAACCCTAAGATTTTTTTTCTGTTCTTTTAGAAACAATACAAGAAAGACTTAGAAAATGAAATTAAAGGGAAAGGAATGCAGGTGAGCATGGATATCCCAGACATACTTCGAGCCAAGAGGGCATCTGAAATCTATAGCCAGGTTAGTAGAAAATGAAGATGCAGAATCATGTGTTTTAACATCCGTTTACCATTTGCTTTGTGCTTCTCTATGATTTATATCTTTTTGAGGGCATTGCATTCAAATTTAGTGTACTCCTGTATTAAGAAAACATTGGCCAAGCTTGATTAACCTTACTAATTAAAAGGACAACTCTAATAGATTCAGTTCAACAGCTGTTACTGGAGTGTCAAAACCTCTCTGTTGGGGCTCTTGTTTTGAGTCCAAGGACATTTTTGACCTTCTTTTTCTTTTTTTCTTTCTTTTTTTGCTCCATTGCACACATGGCCGAAATGCTCTTTGCAGAGAAAGAGTTACAAATGGTTTGTCTTTTAACTATTTCATAATGAATATTATATTGTTATTAAGATAATTAGCTCTAAATAAAACTAACAGTGGCTAAAATGACACAAGGTGAATTTTGATATTAACTAAAATTTAAGTGGAGAACCATTTTCTTGGTAAAATTTGGATTTGCCTAATAATCCTGTCACATATTCTCTAAAAACAACTGTAATGTAGGAGAAATAGTAACCACAGAAGAAAATATTTATGGAAGAAGAATTTATTTATGAAATCTGATCTGGACAAAAACATTCACTAGTGAATACTATTTTTGCTATAAAATTTACATAAAAAGAATGAATCCCAATGGAAAAAAATAGTAACGAGGTATTAAAAAGTTAAAATGGTTTTAGAAAATTGACCATAGAATTAAATTTGATTAATGGAGTTTATCCTGAAAGTAATTTTTAACAAAATGCGGTGATATTTCTCAAAATTCTGGTTAAAACATAACCAAGGAGCCTAAACGTCCATTGGTTCAACATGAGGGTATCAAGATGGCAGAGGCAAATGTCAAAGGAGTCGTCTGCTTCTCAGCCTCCTCAGGTGACACAGCAGCCGGGATGGCCCTGAAGTGCCTGTTCTTCTCTCCTTGGTGCCTACGGTGGCACGTGAACTTGGAGATGTTGGCTATAGCTATGTCAGCTGAACTAAAAATACTAGGTAAATACATACAACAGGCAAATGGACACTCGAGTCATTGGAGAAAGTTGCTGTCTCAAGAATGCCAAGCTCATTCCTTCATTCACATCCATTTTCTAAGCACCAATTCACATATAAGATTAGACATGGTTTTGCCCTTGGGGAGCTGCAGGCTAATCTAATAATCATACAAACATAGTATTATGAACTATTACGTATACTACCTGAAAGTAAAAGTATTAAGTGTCAAGGCTTCCCAGAGAAAGCAGTGACTGAGCTGTCAGATTCCCTGTCTTAACAGTGTTGATCTTTGGAGTGTGACATGAGAATACATCTGATTTTAATCCCTTTAGAATACAGTGGGTTACTCAAGAGGATGTGATGATGCTGTGGTACATTTCAACATGAACAGTAGTTACCTTTTTTCATAAGCAGCAATGTGTCATCATGGTTAACTTCACTGTCTTTGGAACCAGAATGCCTGGTTTTACTTTAATTATAATATGATAGCTCTGATGTTTACTGTCTAGTGCCTCAGTTTCCCCATCTGTGAGGTGGAGAGAATAATAGTATCTGCTTGTGGGTTCATTAAGTGAGCTAATGTGTTAAGTATCTAGAATAATGCTCATTATATAGTATTTACTATGGAAGTGCTGGTACTAGTATAAGGTGCATTGCTCACATTCTATTAGAACTAAGAGTGGTGCATTTAGTGGAGAGAAAATTGAGATTTTTATGTCAACTGCAAAATACTGCTATATTTCTCTTTATCAAATGTATCTTTACCTGAAGTAGGAAGCAAAGCATAAATGCAGAAGCATACAAAAGTAGGTATAGAGGGCCAGGCTACGTGTAGGAGTTATGGGACCATCCGAACAGGGACTTGCACTGCTCATGAAAGGGTGGGTCCCAGGGGGCCAGCCCTACAAGGTGTTTGAATGGACCTGAGTAGGAGCATAGCCTGAGCAGAGCTGAGGCTGTTCTAGTGGACTGTTTGCTTGCTCTGTTTATACTCTGCTTTTATTTTTGCTATTGCATCAACAATTGCTTTGAATCCTAAGATATAAATAAGTTAGAGCCATGTGGTATGGTAGAGTTGGAAAAAGTGGTAAAGTTCTCTTTGTGGCTTTCTCTCTGTCTCTCTGTCTCTCTCTCTCTCTCACACACACATACACAGTTTCAGATTCATATTAACTGTTTATATTTTTAGAAAAAGTATAAAGATGAAGCAGAGAAGATGCTTTGTAACTATTCTATTGTGGCAGATACCCCTGAAATTCAGAGGATTAAGACAGCTCAACAAAACATTAGTGCGGTGAGTAGTCATTATTTCTTTCTAGTTGCCTCCTTGAAATTTTATGTTTGGTAAGGAATGGTCTTTTTTCCTCATTCTCTGATTTTTGCTGCATTATTTGAATTTTCTGTCAAGTATATCATCTTTATTTCTTTAAAATAATAATACTGAATAGTCTTAATTTATCATGATTATTTTGGAATTACAAATTCAAGTTTCCTTCTCTGGTACAAGTGACAGTTTTGAACTGGATTTTAAAATTTAACTCAGGAAATAAGTCTTAATCTTTTTCCACACAGATTTTACTTTGAATGTGAAAATAGTCCTACAAAGTCATTTCCTTCCTGATCATTGGTTATCTACGCTGAGAACATATCTAGGGATTTAGTAGTTTATAACCAGTTCCTAAACTTCCATATTTTTATTTTGAGGAATAATAATTACATCAGCACTATGTTTAATTGATGCATAAACTTGCCTTCTTTTCTAAAATGATAAAAATTGACCGTGCAGTCAGTACTTTAATGTAGAATTAGCTCAGTCACTTAGCAGTTATGCAAGTGCCTTATCAAAATGCAAATCCTATTTAGTTTGAGGACTTCTGGAATATTCTCTACTTCCTAATTAGGTGGCAAGCTCCAGCTTTCAGGGTATGCTGGTCAGGTACCTGTCTCCATGAGGGCAGCCGGGCTGTACTGAGAGATGGAAAGGTGTCGCTGGGAGGATCAGGGAAAGAGGCTGTTTTAGCCCTTCAATCCTGTGGTTCCTTGCTATTCCAGATTTCTGGCTTTTGGAGGCAAACATCTCTCCTACTTTGTTCTCCCACTGCCACTGGAGCCAACTGGATTATCCAGTGTCAAGATAGAGTACTTCTGTCCTCATAAACGCTTCTTATAATGACTCTGTTTTTCTGTAGAGCACTCTTGTTTTTTGTTTTGCTTTGTGTTTGGCAGTGGTAGATGTTGGTGGGGTTGAGACACGTGTGGGAAGGTTAACGAATAAGTGGAAGGTGAGGAAAATAGACTTTGAATTAATGTTGATGTTGACGATAGAGCTAATATTTTCTTTGAAGAGAACGAGGGCATCTTTGTGTTTGGGGAGTAGCAGTTGCTTAAGATTTCATGATGTTTTTGAATTAAATGATAACTGCTTAGCAAGTGTTTGTAATATGTGCTTTGATTTTTCTGAGAAACGCATGTGACATATATTTGAAAAAGGAATAACTCTAGTTTGCCAATTGATATTCTTAAAGCAAGTGATATGCAGCTAACTAAGATAGTGGTCATGTCCTAGAACAGGTATTAGGTAGTTACTTGTAAGATTATGGGATATGAAACCAAAGTTGGGCATTTATTATTATTATGGATTATTTAATTGGTTCATATAATGTTGGTACTCTTAAATAGATGCAGTATTCACATTACTATAAAACCCAAGAAATTGTCTTTCTTTTATGAGAATCAAATCTAGGACTTGAATTCTGACAAGCTTATAGTTCTTCTTTTCCCTCTCTTCTGATAAACGTATTTTATAAAAAAGAAGTAGGAGCTAGAATAGTAGTAAATGATACTCCAGAGATGGAACGTGTTAGGAAAAATCAGCAGAATATTAGTTCTGTAAGTTCTCTTTGGCATTAATTATCCTTTCCAAAAGCAAACAGAAGCCCAATAAATGTTTCTATGTCTTGACTCCATTGACTGTTTTTTGCTTTTATTTTTCACTTTATTGAAATGCTATTTCATCAAATAGCAAAGGTCTAACTTTCGAAGGAAAACTGTAGCCCTGTTCCACTTGACTCTGAAGTAGTGTTTCATTTTGATATATTGTAGTGAAGAAGAAATAGGTCATTTTAATGAAATCTTGGGTTAGAGTTTATCTCTTTGAACAGTATCTTAAGTGTATTAAATTTTGCAGAGAAAGGATACATCCTAGTACCTCTCCACAACTTGGAGGAAAGACATTTTACCTTGATAGAATGATGCAAGGCCGTAGAACATTTATTTGGTGGCTTCAGCGGAGGCTTAGTTTTGAAAAAGAAAATAGTATCAGTTCATTTTTAGCCCGTGTCAGTCACATTTCTGAACTTTCAGACACATTTCTGCCCATATTCCTGTTTTTCTAGACCCATTTACCTCCTACTTCATACAACAAAGAAAATCACACACCTTCACTCTGATTGTAAAATAACTTACCCTCCAGTTACCTTTGCACTGGAGGAAAGGGTAGAGAAGATGCTTAATGTTACAGGTAAACATCTTCCATTCAGTGCTTGCCACATGCCATGGATAATTGCCCTTCTTCCCAACAGGTATTCTGCTGTGTGTATTTAGTATTTTCAGTTTCTTATTGAGGAAGTAAAAAGGATTCTTTCCTTAAATCCCCTTCACCTTCACCTCTGGAAACAATAACTTCCAGAACTTTCAGTAACCCAAGTAGAACTGCTTTGATGATGTGGGTAACCTTGAAGGCTCTGCAGTATCTTGAGTTATGAGCATGTGCTAGCATTTGCGGAGACCGTGTAGGAGAGGCAAGGGAATCGGTAGAAAAACAACTTCAGAATGAAATTACAAGAAATATGCAGAATACTAGTGCAATGAAATCTCTGTAGCATGAATGAAGCTATCTCCCGAAGAAAGCAGAAGAAGGACCTAGGCTGGAAGGATGAGGATGTGCAAATGTGTCCCTCTCATCTGCCACGGCGAGAGCCTGTGTCAGGCAGCACTCAAGTCTGGGGGAGAAATTAGGTTGGGAGAGAAGTAGACAATGTTTGTTTCCTTCACTTTCGAATGATGCTATTTGAAATGTACCCATCAACGTACTGTGATATAATATTATAAAAGTTCTGTAGAGTGCGATTCTATAGCCTACAGTGAAATGACGGTGCCATTTTGATTAGTTTAGAGTCATATGAAAAACCAAAACGTTCATCTTTAATCATGTTTAGCTTCTCACCCGAGGAAAATCACACAAAGTAGAACAGTATATCATTTCTTCTCCCAGCATCCCACGGCCCCTTCTAGCAAACAATAAATACATAGCTCCGTATCTCCTCCAGGTCGGGCCATAAATTCCTGCTTAGTATTCAAATGGAAAGTTGCCCTTTCAAGATTAGCTAGATCTGTCAAACCAAGATACAATTCTCTAACATTTAAAGATCTCGACATTTCCACCTCCAGAGTACAACAAGCCTTTTAGCTATTAGCTCTCTGTTTTAAGAACTGTTTTTGAATTTTACTTAGAGGTAGCCTTTCTCTGAGAACTTTCCATTTAACTGTTATGGGTCTGGACTCACAGTGGCATTGTTACACGTATTACATCCACAGATACTAAGACATAGATGATAGCTGAGACATTTAAGTACTGTTTCTTTATGACAGTATGCATTGCAGCCTTCATTTTAAACATTATCAAGGGATTTCTGAGACATGTTTCATGTAGATTTAAGTCTTTGCAAAATTTCAACATAGGCCTCTCAAGAAGAGCCTTTGCTTCCCTATATTTACATATGTATATATATATATATATATATGTGTGTGTGTGTGTGTGTGTGTGTGTGTCCTTTTTCTCAAATCTAATCTTTCATGAATTTTAGACAGCAAAATACCACCTGAAGTGATAGTATCACTAATTGTTTTGTTAAGTTCAAAGAGCTGTTTCTTGTCCCAGGCCTACCTGTGTGCTGGTGTTACTATTTGCCTGGTTGATTTTCCTCTAAGTAGATTTGAAAGGGAGCTTTTGAATGAAGTGGATGCCAAGATAAAGGTGGGCTTTTCATAACATGATTATGTAGGTAGAAGACACCTCCTAACTTTCTTTTTTTTAATTTAATTTAATTTTTTTCCAGCATATTGTGGAGGTACAAATGTTAAGGTTACGTATATTGCCCTTGCCCCACCTCCCCCCTCGAGTCAGAGCTTCAAGTGTGTCCATCCCCCAGTTGTTGCTGATACTGACCTGTCTTACAGTAAACTGGACACAGTGGTCTATATTTTTAGTACGTTTCTCTCCACCTCTGTTTTTCTCTTCTTTTATTGTGCTCACTTTATTTTTTTTCCTTATTCTGAATTATTTGTGTTCTCTCAGACAAGCAGTGTTCTCAAGACTATGTGACTAATGCAATTTAACTTTCGCCTTTAAGTACACGTTAAATTTTTAATTACCGTATTAACAGATAGAAACTGCTTTTTGGATATAAAATAATAAATTATTGTGTTATTTAAGATAATTTCCAAGGTTTTTTTCCTGCATCTGCCTAATGATAAAATTTATTTTCATAAGCAATACTGCTTATTTTAATTAAAAAACTTCTACAGTGGTGGATAGGTGAATAGATATGATCTTATTTGTACTTTAGGATAAAGGAATCCTGAAAGTATCAGATAAAATAAGAAATTGTGTTCCCAATGAAGGAAAAGTCATGTTGGAATTATGAAAAAATCAATTATGCAATAGTTACAAATGAAGAATTCTTAACTATTTTTAAACCTTGTTTAGGGTGAAATTAACATTATATTCTTATAAATTATGCAGGTGAAATACAAAGAAGAGATTAAACATGCAACAGCCATTTCTGATCCTCCAGAGATAAAGAGAGTTAAAGAGAACCAAAAGAACATCAGCAATGTGATCATATTTCCTTAAGTATTTTTTTCTATTTTATTGGATACCAATATATAATGAGGGCATGACACCATTACAATGAATACCATTGCAGGAGGGTCATTTCCTTAAAGCAAAGATGACAGTTTACACACCTGTATATCCTCCATGACACTGAGCCCAATGCTTCATGTGCATTTGTTTATTAAGGAAACGGGTTATTGAATGTCTACTCTTTTCTTGTTCTTGGGGGATTTCAAAGATGAGTGAGATATACTGCAAGCTCAGGGGCTTTGAGTATCTCAATATCTCTAGGAGAAACAGACCCAGGAATACATAACTATCATGCAGTAAGTGCTATAACAATAATTAATACTTCTTGGGTGCTTACTGTGCTTTTTGAGTACTTTGCATTATTATCTCATTTAATCATAAATAATAATACCTCTTGCAAAGTACTATGGGAATGCAGGGAAGGAAGTCTACACAGTGGGAGAAAGCAATAGCTTTGGGGAAGGAAAAATGTTGGAGTTAAATCTTGGAGAATGAGTAAAAGTGTGGGTGGATTTTGTGAGGAAGGGTAATCCTATCAGAGCAAATAAAATATGTTCATGATCCAAGGCCTGTTCAAGAAAGAGAAGGTTTAGTGTGGTAAATATTAATACTTGAGGTGAAAGATGGCAGGAGAATGATGATGGAGAGCGGTTGGAGTATAGTTTGTAAAGAAGTACTATGGAGTCCCAAAGTGTAGTTCACGTACCACTGTGGCATTCAAGAATACAGTAAATAGTCCATCAATGGTCAGTCCTTGACTATGGTTAAATTGTTTTAATGATTGCCTTCTTCTTAAAGAAGGGTTACTAGTCTTCAGTTTAGTGTAGAAACATATCACTTTCTTAAAATAACTTTATTTGAAAAAATAGTTAATTCAGTGAGAAAGTAAAGCTATAACAACATTGTCTATAGTATATATCTGGTGTAACAAATGGAAAGTGGTATCTATAAGCAGGGATTTGGGTATTAAAATGATGTTGCTTGAATCTCTGGCACGTTAGGGGGAGGGAGGAGTGCCAGGGGCAATATATGTAACCCTAACAATGTCTGTACCCCTATAATATGATGAAATAAAAGGGGAAGAAAAAAAAAACTAAACAAAGGGTGGAGAATGCAACTTGGAGGATACAGGGATCATCTAGGGAGCCATAAACAAAAACACAAAACTTTTTTTAAAGAGACGTACAGAGACCAAAACAGCCCTTAGAAATTTAAAAATATATATGGTAGCTGGAAAAAAAAAATGTTGCCTATGAAGCACACAGCATGTCTGTGAATGGATGAATGCAAGATGTGAAAATTCTCCCTACCAAATTGTTGTCCCCAATCTTACATCCACTAGAAATTGACTGTAACAGTTTCTGTCCATCAGTAATACTAATCTACTATTCAGATTTTTCCCCTCTGAGCTTTATCCAGAGTAATCTTTCCTTGAATCTTGCCATCAATAGAGATTAAACTGAAACTTTCTTCATGTTAACTCAATCATCCCAGTTGCAAGAATCTGCCTAAACTCTCAAACTATATACTGCAGTGCAAGGAATGTTACACATTGAAGAAAGAGGTCAGATTGGAAAGAGCCTAATCCTTTTCATTTTTTTCCCCAGGCTTATCAATTTCTCTTCATTTTCATGTTCACTACAGAGAAGGTCTGTTGCCACAGGGCTTGTGATTTCTTGTGAAAGAAAATTCCCTAATGCTAAATTTAAACTTCAGAAAATCATTAAGACTGTCCCTGTGGAGTTCCTTATAATGGGAACTTAACCCCCAGCTCTACTTTTGCCTGTCAAAAATTAATTTGATGGTTATGCCATTCTGTTTCTCTGTGTCGATATTCTTTTATTTCTTGGGGTGGTGTGAAATTGTTGAGAAAGCTGACCACAAACAGTGGAATCTGACCCCCGCTCACCCCCAACTAAGAAAGAACACCTCTGTGCAGTGAGTTAGCAAAATTTTCATAGGGCTTGGTTAGAGGCAGGGCTTCCAAAGTCAGAATTTTGTAGGGAAGGAGGCTTTGAGGTTGTATAGTGATAGTCTATCCCTAAAGAGCAAGTGTAGGATTTGACCATCTTTAGCAAATGATAAGCATGCAGAATTATTACTTTTAATATAAAATGGTAATTTGGTAAACATTGCTTTAGGGCTTTGAAATTTACAGAAGGCATATTTCATTATTACTGATAAGATCAAACTCAGGCTACCAATAAATAATATAACATGAAGGATAACAATGAAATTTAAGGTCTAAATTAAAACATCTGACAAAGGAAAGGTTAGAGACTGGGATCGATAGGAAGATGAAGTCTATTAGCAATACATTTCACTATAAAATCCTAATGAAGATTTTACTAATGAATGTTCTGTAGCCATGTGATGTTTCTTTTAATTTGCGCCAGTACTTTGGGACACTTTCATTCCCCATAATCCCAAACTGTCTTGCCTCTTGTCTCCCAGCTCAAGTATAAAGAACAAAGTTACAAGGCCACTCCGGTAAGCGTGACCCCAGAGACAGAGAGAGCAAGGAGAAACCAGGAGCAGCTAAGTGTGGCAAGTTGTTTCTGTTTTCTTTTATATTTTATCAAACATCACATATCTTTATCTTTTAACATGGCCTTTCAAAAGCTGTAAACCAGGCATCCTCAAACTACGGCCCGTGGGCCACATGCGGGTGTTTTTGCCCGTTTGATTTTTTTACTTCAAAATAAGATATGTGCAGTGTGCATAGGAATTTGTTCATAGTTTTTTTAAAACTATAGTCAGGCCCTCCAATGGTCTGAAGGACAGTGAACTGGCCCCCTGTTTAAAAAGTTTGAGGACCCCTGCTCTAAACCCTCCATATATTTGGATGCTTTTTTCACATTTATCTATCTAAGGGCATGAACTGTGTGTCCAGAAAGCTTGGGACTGTGTTGCTGTGCTTTAGCCGTGTTTGCCCATTCAAGAGATCTTCACTAAGCACCTGAATGTGCCGGGCATTGTCCTGGCCACCGAGACACAGAGATGGCTAAGACCCACTTCCTCTCCCCATGGACCTCACAGCTCAGTTGATAAATCTCTAAAAATAAATCCAGGTAAGGACCTGGAGAATAGTGAGTCTATTGTCAAACTGGGAGGAAAAGGTTATCTTATTGGAACAGGGTAAACGAAGACCTGGCTTGACATGATAGCATTAAGGTGAGGAACCTTATAAATAAGATAATCCTTCAATCATTCAGTAATCTTTTGCGAATAAAGCAATCATAGTTGACAGTGACCAGTCAGCTCTACTGTGTGCTGGTCCCTGTGCTCATGTTTTATGTGAACCCATAAAGTCAGCACGATTCATTTATGTGGTTGGTATATGTGGGGAAACTGAGTCTTGGGGAGATCAGAGGACATGCTGGGGACCCACGGCTGGTAAGAGCAGAGCTGGAATTTGAACCCAGCTTCCTAAAATTCAGAAGTCCCTTCCAGAGGTCCCCCACATAGTTACTTTTCCCATGTTGTGACCCCTTTGTGGAACTTTTACCAATAAAAACCATAGGCTGCTTCTTCCAAAACAGGTAATTTTGAAAAGCTTTAAAATTTAAGAGTGAGTTCTCCCAGGTGGAGGAGATTGTCAGGCTCGAAATTGTTTGTCCTTGTGATGTCCCTGGGAGGTGGCGGGAGTCAGAGAGCTTTAGCTTCTATGGAAAGAGAGTCAAAGGCCTTCCTGGACTGGCGCACCATAGACTTCACTGCAGTTCTCTTGTGATGACTTCATTCTGGTGTTTATTTTACAGCATGTTCCCTTATATTTCCATTCCTTTTATTCATGAAATTTACAGTAGATTTTGCTATTGAACAGCTAAGTATTTATTGAAGACTGATTTTGAAATAACACATTCAACATTTTGTGCTTGCTGAGTCAGACCAGTCGGCATCTAGGCGTGGATACGAATGAGAAGGTAGACGAAGCTCTACCGTGGAAAAGCGCAAAAAATAAGGGTTAATTTCGAGCCTCAGCCTCTGTGATACTTAGGTGGGGCCCATTCTGTTATCTATTACAATTCTTCTTTATCCTCCACAGGTGAAATATAAAGGAGAGATTAAACAGGCAACTGTAATTTCTGATCCTCCAGAGCTGAAGAGAGTGAAGGAAAACCAGAAGAACATCAGCAATGTGTGGTCATCTCAGTAACTTTTTTCTTACAACATCAAACGTATTGTCAACATGTAAATGGAGGATTGCATTTGCAGAATTTCCAAGTTCATATTCTTCTCTCAGTGAAATAACAATTTATTGAAAGGCTTCAGGGTCTTAGTTATTGTGGATACACTCAGGTATTCCCTACCTCAAGGTTCCCAGTGACATGCCAGGGTGATTTTTTTTCCGACAGGTATCTTGTCTTCACGCTGATAGGTGCTGTGGTTCCCCAGAGGGAAGCAATCGTAGCTTCTGGCATCTTGGCCCCTCTACAAGCCTTTCCATTCCCTTTCCTACCTGCATGTGTTCTTGCTTATGAGCCTTCTCCCAGCCTTCTACTTCCCCCGATTATTACTCTATTTTGGGGGCAATGTCTGGGAAAAAATGATACAAGTGCACATGGCTGAATAGGTCACACGGGACAGGCCATTTTAGGGGCACTTGATAAGGAGCTGGCAGTTTTTACTTAGACACCAACTCGTGGCCTGCTCTAATTCCCTGTTGATATAATTCCCTGTTGATACAATTCACGGATGCAGTTCATGGAGACAATCCTTTTTAAAAGTCATTAACATATAGATTGGGTTCCTCCGAAGAGGAAATTTGGAAATCTATTATGTCCAAAGAAATCTTTTATTCTTCAGACCTTTAAAGTCATTTAGCTGGTTTATAAAGCAAAAGCAGGTTGTTGTTTGATACTTTTCCCAACAACTATATTTTAAACATGCTCATCTTTTCCCGATATATTGAGAGTCACACTTGACATGATTCCCTTACTCTGTAAAGGGAACACAGTTATTGAGAAAGAGGAGTGGGCAGCGAGAAGCACACTGGCCTTTTTATGAATGTCCACAGTCATCTATTCAAATGAATCCTTATGAAAGTTCTGCCAAAGTTAATTCCTAAGAAATCATAATGGTGTAGTATCATTCTGTGTGGGCGGAAGTATCTTTAAGTAATATTAATGAAGACATTTCATCTTATATTCCTTTGTGATTAAGTGCTTATTACAGCTTTATTGATGGTATGCATAAATATGTTAGTACACCCATAGTGATTTGGACACATATACCCTCCTATGCAATGCAATGCAATAGATTGATTTAAGATGCCATCATTTTAATAAGACTAGACCTCCGATAGTATCCTTGTTTTTTTTTTTTTTGTAGTTTATCCTCCTTGCTTAACTCATTAAAATAAATAGTATGAGACTCTTAATGAGTTGAATTGATTCATAGTACTGTATTTTTTTGTTCTCTGAAATGATAGGTCTATTATAAAGGTCAGCCAGGAAGAGCTACCGCGTTAAGTGTAACTCCTGAAATGGAAAGAGTAAAGAAGAATCAAGAAAACATTAGCTCGGCAAGTGGTTATATTCATGTTGGACTGTCACAGAGGATCTGTCCTTTATTACCTGCTTGCAGTCCTGTTTTAAATATTTGTGATATTTCCAATAAGTATGTGTGTTATTTCGGATGACTTCTGAAAACTACCACTATATACATTTACATTCTCCTTCATTAGATTGCTTAGTTATAAATTATATTCATTTAAACAACGATTCCTGTTGTTTCCACCAGTGTTTCTGGAAGCGATAAAATCTTTAATGCAGGAATTGAACAATTGTTGTTTTACTGATGTATTTCCTTGAACATAGGTTGTTAAATGTAGAATAAAGTAGGAAATGAGTCATTATTCCCAAGTAAGGATATAGAGGGGAAAAAATCTTTAAGTACATTTAATATAGAATTTGGTTACTCATTTAAGTCCCAAAGTTCATGTCAGTGTCCCATTTGGACAGTGTGCTTTCCTCTTAGTGAATATCAGTTCTGAATTGCATATATGCACTCAGGTCTCCCATAGGTAGTATCCGAATCTTACACATAATCAGGTTGACAAGTAACACTGTTTGGATGGTCAGCTGTCAAGAACATCGAACCCTGTTCCTAACACACCTTGGAGAGCTCTGTGCCTGATGATCAGCATTTAGGCTTCATAATCTATAGCTCTCTAGTGGCATTTCTCTCCAGGGATGCTGAGTGTATTTACCATAAATTACCTTTAAGTTGTGGCTGCTTAGAAGAAAAACTAGATTTGTTTCTTGTTCTCTAAAGAGGGGAAAAATATAAAAAGAAATAGAAGGCAGCCTGGTATGCATTTTTTAACACTCTTACGGCAAAAAATGGGGAAATTTAGAAACAAAATAAATTGAGTTCTATTTAGTTTGGAATTTTCTCTCTTTAATTTACATAGGATAACTAGTTTTACTGACTACATTGTAGTGACTCTTGGTCCCTCACACATTTGTTTTCAGTTGACAGATTTAGGTCATTTTTGCAATTGTCTTGAAAGGGGATCTTTGAGAGTAAAATTTTAGGTCACTATTCTAGAATGAAATGTAATTCACTGAAAACGTTACCTGGGAAATAATTTTGAGTATGTTGCATATGTTCTACTTTTTTGTAAATCTTAAAAATGTTATATAACTTTTTTTGTTATAATTGTCTTATTATAAGTATGTCCATTTACTTTGCAGGTAAAATATACCCAGGACCATAAACAGATGAAAGGTAGACCAAGTCTGATTTTAGATACACCTACTCTGAGACATGTTAAAGAAGCACAAAATCATATTTCAATGGTAGGGTACAACCAGATCACTCTTCTCATGACTAAAACATACTAAGGAACAGCAGGACCCTCTGTACCGATGGCATTAGTTCACTATTAATCTGGATAACTAACAAAGCATGGAAACGTGGTTGGCTCATCCTTTTTGGGGGAGGGTTGGGCGCTCTCTAATCACACTGGAATGTAATGGAAATATTTAGTCTAATAAAATAATTTTTCTCAGTGACTTTTTTTGGTGTGTTTTTATTTCTAATGTGACTACTATAGATGCACTGTGTGAAAGACATTTGTCTAGATTACTTTCCAATTAATTTTAAGATGGAGTTTGGTCTGTTTGCATGTCATAAAGAATATGAAAAAAAGTATGTTTTTAAAAGCTGTTTCCTGAGATATAATTTATCTACCATAAAGTTTACCCATTTAAAGTGTTCAATTTTGTGGTTTTTAATATCATTTACAGAGTTGTACAATTATCACCCTGACTCAATTTCAGAATGTGAAAAAATATATGTTTTGAAGTATATATTTAATGCTTTTATAATTATATACAAAAATTGGATATATCATCTGTAATATCTCTTAATATAATTTAAAATAACATTTTATTGAATGATTATATGGAAATAGATATTGAAATTTAAGGGGTAGGAAGTTAAATCTGTAGTTAAAGTAGTATATTTTAGGAACTAACCAGGATTTAAAAATATTTATCTTTTACAACTTCTTACTGATAATACAGTTTTATATATAACTTAAAAGAGATGCTGATCATAATGATTAAAAACATTATAAAAATATCAACGCTGATTTTTGATGCTAAGAAACTGAAGTTTTAGACGTTGTTTTTGGAATAGTTGGAAAAGATAAATATATGGAGAAAATACACTATTCATAGATGCAGCCAGTGTAGTGACACCTGTCTTCTTATCAAAATTTTGTGAGATATGTAACTAACAATCAGCAAATTTCTGTGTGAGTTAATATTGTTTTTCGTTTTTCAGGTAAAATACCACGAAGATTTTGAGAAGACAAAGGGGAGGGGCTTCACGCCTGTCGTGGATGACCCCGTGACAGAGCGAGTGAGGAAGAACACCCAGGTTGTCAGCGATGCTGCCTATAAAGGCGTCCATCCTCATGTCGTGGAGATGGACCGGAGACCTGGGATCATTGTTGGTAAGCCAGCAGTCCATCTCGGCGGCTGAGCACAGTCGAAAAGATAGTGCTTGCTTTAACTTTCGAATTAGCCTCTTCGCTCATCTGATTTCTCATCACCTGTTGGATATGGTGCCCAATTTAAAATGAACCACCGGTAAAGCGTCGTTCTTGTACCGTATGGAATAGGATTCCTGGCATTCACCAGATACTGGCTCAAATTCTTTCTATTATTGGACGTTCTCTGTCTTTAATAGGGTTCTGGTCTTAAGAATGTTCCTACTTGTTAAACAAAGAAGCAGCCCGGAAATGGGTGATCACGACGGTTGAATGATTATTTTGTTTTCCGTTAGTGTGTGTTCTTAATCAATGTGTCATTCTGTAGATATCATGTGCATAGGTGACAGACAAGAGCCATATTATACTTAAGTCCTTTTGTCACAAGTAGGTGTGCTGGGGAGACTTGGCTGGTATTTCATAATACTAATAGCTCATATTTTTAGAATATTATTTCTGAACTGGGATAATTAAGAGTCATCTGAAAGTCCCATAATTAAGAGAGCAGCCTTCTCTTCCTGCTATCTGTTCCTCATAGTCAGGGGAAATCCTAGGAGGACATTTGTTGGATGATGGCTGAAATATCAGTAAAGATCATACTGGAGTTTAAGGGAGGACTAGGAAGGAAAGTTGTTGATTTTTCAAAATATATCAACAGCTGAAGACCATTGTCTCCTTTAGAGCAGTTGGCCTCTGAATTATGTAGTCCAATTAGGTAGCTCAAAGAATATTTTTGGTCACCATGGTGTATGCCTCTCAGAAATCTCAGTGTTAGATCTTTTTCATCTTTAAAAGTAAGAACTTATTTTTTGGTACTAGTGAAAGGCCACTTAGAGGTGAGTTAGGTGGGGAAAGCATATATTTGACAAGATTAAAAGTAAGAACTTATTTTTTGGTACTAGTGAAAGGCCACTTAGAGGTGAGTTAGGTGGGGAAAGCATATATTTGACAAGATAATATATTAGCACAAAGCAAGGGTACCAAAGTCAGGGCACTAAGTCACTTGGGTGATTTTATCAATAGTAAAGTGACTCTGAATGTATTTTTGAAAGAAGGATTCCAAACATATTTGTAGGCAACAGATAGCTTTGTGGATCTTGCCCAAGTTGATTACTTAAGAGGATCACATTAAGTTGGATGGATGAGTTGTGATGTTTTCATTAAAAGTAACACAGAATTAGAGAGCTTCCTTGTTTTGTGCTAGTATCTCATGAAGGTAGTGTAGGGGTCTGATTGTCTCACTTAGGATGAAACTACTAAAGTCTGTGCAACTTACCCCAAGTCCTGTATAGAGCAGGGGCCAGGAGTGATGCTGAGGTCATTGCTTAAAAACCAATAAGCTGTCTAGACCTTGAGCTTTCATAATTCAATACTCAGAGCCTTTGAGATAGAAATTATTATTTTTTAAAAATATAAGATGTATAACTCTAAATTATTTACTTACTAGGCAATCCAGAAGTCAATTTATTCTTAGTGAGAGAAACTGTTTTCCATTGGGGGCTTGCCTATGAAAACACAAAATAAAGTACATTCAGCAAACATCACACTTTCTAATGAGCCAGCTTCCGTATCAGGCATGGAAATACAAGTTTAGAAATTTTCCGCATAATTCAGACTAAGCCAAGTTGTGCTGTTTCTATTTGTGTTGGAAGCTCTGCTACTTATGTAAACTTGGCCACGCTACTCAATCTCCCTGTGCCTCAGTTTCCTCATCTATAAAATGGGGATAATAATAGTACCAACTTTAAAGTGTGTGAAGCTTAAATGAGTTAGGTTATAAATGAGAATAGTGCCTGGCCTATGGTAAGCCCTACATAATATTAATTAAAAACAGACAAGCAAATCTCTGTTTCCAGCTTACAAATTGATTATTTTTGCTTTGGCTCCATTTTCTGCCATATGTCCATAACTAGGGTCTTATTTTCCAGATGTTGGTCCAGTGCTACAGAGCTCATTGCAGGACCTGATACCTGTTAGTTGGAGAGAATGGTAAACTTGGAAGTTATTAAGTTTGGATTTTGCCTCCAACTAAAATAGAAGGAGGAGAAATCGGCTCGCATAGTCTGATCACTGACGGTAGCAGGGGGTCCACTGACAGCGGGAAGCTGTTCTGATTTCTTTCCATTCTTCATCGTTCCTTGCTGGGTGCCTTGCTCATAACACTTTTGGAATAAGTGTATCGTATTTATCAGCTTGTACTCACAGACTCAGAACAAAAACTGGGCTTGCCACTTCTCTACATTTCAAATATTTGTTTCTGTTATAGGGAGAGAAGCTTTCTGATTGTTTTGCTTTTTTTTTTTTTAAACAAAAACCTCTCAGTCATTTCCTATCAATTACTCACATGTCTGAACTAGTCACATGTCCTTAATGAGGAACTTGAATCAAACATTTTGCCTGTTTCAATGTGGAGAGCAAGAGTGATTGGAGGATCAGGGGTGCCTGGGGGCCACACACAGGCACCTGTGCGTGTGTGCTGGGTGGTGAGTCGCAGGTACTTCAGCAAGGCCAGACAGGGCAGTTCTACAAAGAATAGATCAGGCGACTTTAATTTGATTATGAAATTTTCTTAACAGCTACCTGTGAAAGCCAATATCCTTTCACTCTCTGCTGAAATCTGCAGCACTGTGGGTTTGCATGTTACATGTATGCTTTTTTACATACGTTCCTTTCCAGGCTTTTGCTCGACTCTTTTTGGTGCTGGCTTTTTTTGTTTGTTTGTTTAATTCCTTCTTGATGTGTTGATTTCTTCCTTTTGGTAAAAGACCTCAAAGTCTGGCGCACAGACCCCGGCTCCATCTTCGACATCGATCCCTTGGAAGACAATATTCAGTCTAGAAGTCTGCACATGCTCTCCGGTACTGCTGGCATTTTGAGTTCTTCCCCCGTTATGGTTTTGTCCTGACAGTGAAGGTGCTGTGAACTCTAGAGGTTCATCATGCCAACTATGTAATGTAGTTTGAAAGTTGAGAATTTGAGAAACCAAAAAAGTGCTGTGCTACTTGAAAATACCATTCATCATTTAGGAAAATAAAACTTGCAAAAAGACTTTTTAATATATCCCAGATGAGTTTGTCCTAGAAAGCTTCTTACTGGTGAATATGATTTTGTAGGCTTTCTGGGTTTATTAATGCAGTTATTTGTATTGCAGTAAACTGCTGAGACAAAAGGATTGGTTTCATGAAATACACTGTTACATTTTCAAAGTAGATTTAAAGAATTATATATAGGAGAGTAGAAAGGTTTTCCGTAGAGCATCTTACAAGTATCCTTAAAATTGAACTCTGAGTTTTTAGATCAGGTAACATGAGTAGTTTATATAGGAAGCTTATTTGATCTTAGACGGTATATTTATAATTAAAAGTAAAATATGAATGGTTTGGGTATAGTGATAGCTTGATTTGACATTTCAGATTTTCTTTGACAGTATACAGTTTTTTTAAACAATATAAATAGATATATTATTTAGGTCTTGCTCTATTTTCTGATTTTTACTCTATATTTAATTATTGATGTTAATAAAATTGAATACCCAAGGCAAAGAAGAGATTTTTTTTTATATAGTCATTTCTATAGTCAATTTGATCCACATGGTTAGTCAAATTATGTCATTTAATTTTATAAAAATAAAGGAAAAGCAACAAATACCATGTACCTGGTAATACTTGAAATGAATTACTTATAACCAGGATTTATCTTCAATGGAAATGTATTAGTTTGCCTGTGTTCTCTTAGTTCTTGTCAATTTCCAAGTGCTTATTTCTCCTTTAAAATCTAGATTTAAAATGAATATAAATGATTTTTAAGTCATTTATGTAGTTGGTGCAATGCATGCTCAAGTTTGGGAGTAGGTGACTAGAGCTTTGTAATAGCTGAGATTTTGGATTATTATTTACTAAAAGATTATTTCTTTTCCCCTGGTAAGCTTTTAAGTAATCTGTTTCTTCTGTTTTTTTGAATCCCTTAATCACAAATATGAATATTTTCCCTCCACTATAGAAAAGGCGAATCACTTTAGGAGACACCGGTCTCGATCTCATTCTAGCAGTACTTTTGGTACCGGTGTGGGAGATGACAAGTCAGAAATCTCTGAGATTTACCCTAGTTTTTCATGCTGCAGTGAGGTAACCAGACCGTCTGATGAAGGAGGTATCAAACATTAACCACTTACAAAGAAAATTGATTCATTTTTTTAAAATGTGTCACAGGAGTGCCTTTAACATTTTCTTCACCTTTGCACAAACATCTAACCTGGGTGTATTTGAGAATTTAAAATTAGGTTTAGAAAGTTAATAGTCCTTTTTTTTTAAAAAAAAAACCAACTAATTTGCACTTTTGCATGTTGTTTTTTATTCCCATCTTACTTCACTGTTGCTGCTGCAACTGGCTCTGTAATCACAAAGGGTCTTGGGATTTGCTATAAGAGTCTGTTCACGGCGTTATATGTGATGGATGTGCACAGTCCTAACTTGGGTTCTGTGTAGTTTATATCTGATTTCCATTAAGGTAAAAGAAATCAATCTTACAGTAATGATAGGGTGGCTAAGAGGTTGCAATGGATTTGTGTGTGTTTAAATATTGATATAATATGCAGAGTTAGATATTGCTAAAGAGATATTAGGTTTAACACTTGGGATCTGAGATTTTTTTTTTAATGGAAAATACAGTTGATTGTTAATAGTCTTCTATTTTATATCCCACCTTTTTCCTGTACCTTCTCCTGTTTTCTGCATCCAGGCTGATGAATTGGGTCTAGAACTTTTAGTGAGTTTCTTTAGCATGTTAAGCGAATCCTGCATATACAAAGCTGTCATGAAAGGTTAAGACTAAGGTGCTGCACCTACCCATTGTAACTACATTTTAGTGCCATGGGAAGGGGGAGAAAACTGAAGCATATGAGAGCAAAAGGTCAACCGCAAATATCATATCACCGAAATCCTGAAGGCAGGAAATGTTGAGGTTGAGCAACTTAACACCTTTGGGTAAAAAGGTAATGTGTGACTAAGGAGATGATGAAACCATGAAAGCTTTTGTAATAGTGTAATTTTTTTTTGTATTCTTTACAACAAAATACTGATGAAAATAAAATCAGTTATATCCTATGCATCTTGAATTATATATTGAGACTAGCCTTAGCTTGGTAGAAAGTTTTTAAGAGTTTCCTTTCTCTATAAGTCTAATGAAAGAATTATAAACTTGCTTTGCTTTATTGCAGATAAAATACACATGAGATCTCCCCTTTTTGTTTCTGGTTTACTAACAAAGAGTTCGGTAACTTCCTAATTTTTTTTTTTTTTTTTTTGTCTTGGGGTTGCTGATTTCTCCATTCAGTGCCTTCCGGGGTTCTAGAGGTACAGAATAATATTGATACTTGATGAGATAAATAAAACCCAAAGCAAATACAAGAACTAATTTTGATCAATCTTATCAAACATTACAACACAGAGTACTAACCACTACACTATCACAGCTTAAATGTTACTCAGTTCAGCATGTTGGAGTTGACGTCTCTCCCAAATGCAAGGGGCTACCGAGACTTTGCTTCATGAATGACCCTTTACTTCATGTCTGTACACATCCACATGACATTCATTCATTTATCCACCAAATGGTTATTGAGTGCTCTTTGTGCACCAGCCATGAGCTTGGATCTGGCAATGCACACAGCAGTGAGCAAAAGAGACATACATCCGTTGTGAGGGGCCTAGCGTCTTGAGGGGGACCCTGGCATTTAGCAGAGACTTATACAAATAATATATAATTATGAGCAGAGTTGCTGGTAGGAGAGGATAGAATGGGAGCTGCAATAACAGGGCGATTCCAGCAGTCCTCACTGTCAGGGAAGCCTTCTTCAGGGAAGGGATGTTTGTTTGTTTTGAGATGTGGATGCTGATGGAAGTTAACTAGGCCTGGGGGGCTTTGGGAGAAAGTGTTTCTGATAGGACAGAGCACAGCAGTGGTTTGCCACTGAGATGTGAAAATGGAGGCATAAAGTAGGCAATTAGAGTTCAAAGGAGAAGGCTGCCCTGGAGATCAATTTGCAAGTCTTCCTCCTGGTCTGTGATTAGGTCTTGATGAATCTGTGAAGAGATGGAGAATTCAGAGACCCCCTTCTGTGGAGGCCCCAGCTCCCTGTGTACCAGCAGACCATGCCCAGGACCACGTGTTTCACTGCATCCTCTCCTCCAAGGCTATAAAAACCCTGATCATTGACTCAGATGATGACTTCCAAATTGATCTCCAGTGCAGCCTTCTCTGAACTCTAATTGCCTACGAGACGCCTCCATTGAACATCTGCTGTTAGTTTATCACCTTTTTCTCTTCTCAAGCCTACGTTCCTTGTTTTTTTTCTAAATTATTTTCTAGCAGGCCAAGTAAAAAGGATCGCTTGAGCTCAGGAGTTCGAGGTCAGCCTGAGCAAGAGTGAGACCCCATCTCTACTAAAAATAGAAAAACTTAGCTGGGCGTGTTGGTGCATGCCTGTAGTCCTAGCTACTAGTGAGGCTAAGGCAGGAGGATCACTTGAACCTAGGAGTTTGAGGTTGTTGTGAGCTAGGCTGATGCCATGGCACTCTAGCCTGGGTAACAGAGTGAGACTCTGTCTCAAAAAAAAATTATTTCTAGCAAAAGGACCCTATACTAAGTCAAACTGAATGGGAAAATATCTCCACTAGAAGAGGGTATAGGTAAATATTCTTGCATTTACACTAGAATTTTAGTTAACACATGGTTATGAGGGAATAATTAAATTTTTTTTAATGGGGAAATTTTAGACTCTGTGAAAGGTGGCAGGAGGAGATTTTTGGCAGGCAGGGATGGCTCAGTGACTCAAATAATGCCTTGTGTGAAAAAGTTGACTCTTTGGAGTCATTTATAAACATCTGTCATTTTCGGGCATCTGTTATGAGGCCAGGATGCTCTGTCTTTAGGGACATATCCTATTTTAGAAAACAGATATTGAGGTAGGAAGCAAAAGTAAAGATGTGCTAATAAGTTTTATAACATAAACACAAGTAATGGTGTATCCACAAGATATCTATGCTAATTTGAAAAGATTTTAGGATACATGGGAATATCCTAAGTTTATTTAAGTGAAGCAAAGCACAGTCTACAAATTTGCACTGTGTGTCTGTATTCAAATGATTAATGACATATCAGATCAAGTAAGTTCAAAACCACCTCCCCACTCCCCACCTTCCTGCCAGAAATCTGCTCCTTTCCTGGGCTTCCCTGTTTGCTAAGAGGCAGCTACAACTTCCAGGTGCTGAAGTCAAACCCCTTGGAGTCATCCTCCACTCTTGTCTTTTACTCTCACCCACATCCAGTCCATTGGCGAATCTTGTCAGCTCTACCATGACAAAAATATAGAGTCCGACTGCTTGTTTCTGCCCCCACTGTGGCCAGCCCTGTGTCAGCTTCTGCCACCTCTCATTTGGGCGATCACAATCCCCTGCTGACTGGGGTCCCTGCCTTTGCCCTGGCCACTCTGTGCCCTGCCTACCTTCTGCCCTGGTCTGTTCTCCACTTGGCAACTGGAATGATCTCCGTGAAACCTAAGTCAGATCACATCACCCTTCTGCCATTTCATTCTGCATATAATCCAAATCCACACCATGGCATACACAGCCTGCGTCCAATTTTGGGCTCTGGCATCTGCTCTGAACTCATTTCCTACCATTCCCAGTACTCTCGTTCACTCCCACCATACTAGTCTCCTTGCTTTACTCAACCTTTCCAAGAAAGCTCCCCCCAGGGCCTTTGCACTTATCGTTCCCCTGCCCAGAACACTCTGCCACCCCAGATACTTGCTTTCCTAGTGCCATTTTTCTTTATGTTTCAGCTCATATGACACTTTATCAGAGAGACCCTCTCTCCCTACCAGAGATAACACAGCATCCCTCTTGTCACCCTCTGTCCCCTTTTTTATCCTGCTTTCTTTTCCTTCCTAGCACCTGACACAACCTGATACTCTGTATTGATTTATTTGTCTGTCTGTCTCTGCCTCACTTGACTGTGAGCCCTCCGAGAGCAGAGATAGTAACTCCTTTGGTGACTGTTGTAGCTCCAGCTCTTAGAACCAACACTCAGATAATATTTGATGAAGGCATGAAATAGCCAAACTCATATTTTTAAAACTAGGACCACAGATATAAATATATGGGAGTATAATTGTTTTTACAAAATGAAATTCTCTTGTGGAAGGCTCTCAAAACATTCTTACATTTTTGATGATCTTTTGATGTTTCAATGACATTAAAGCATAACTGAAAAAACAACCTAAAGTGGAAACATTCTCGATGGTTTTTTTTTCCTACTAGGGAAAGAAAGACATAGTATCCATGACTTCTTGGTGGCTTTGAAATTTAGGGTCCCCTTTGAAACATGTGCTCTGCTGGGATCTGGTAAGAAGGTGCTGATTGACTGTGTACAAAGAGACCATTTCAGTGATGACAATTGTTTGATAAAAATCTTCAGTGTCTTTAGTAGTAACAGTCAATCATATGCATTTGTTTAAATTCCATCCTAGAAATTGAAAGGAATTTTCAACAATACTTGTGAGGGATAAGATGAAGAAAAAAGAAAATGTGAAGTATTTAGAAATGCTATGTTTCTTCAAGATTTTGTGGATTCCTTTAAATTTATTTTACTCATTTCTTTCTTTTTTTTTTAAAGTGGTTAGAATTTCTGGTTAATGATTATCTTTTTAACACTACCGCTATGATAGATTATTTTAAGGATTGATTTTCTTTTAAAATTTTTTTTAAATTGAAAAATAATAATTGTACATATTCAAGGGGTACGTAATGATGTTTCAATACATATATAGTTGTCAGATCAGGGAAATTAGCATATTCATATAATTTGCTAATTAGATCCCAAACATTTATCATTTCTTTGTGTTGGAAACATTCAATAGCTTCCTTCTAGGTATTTGAAACTATATATTACTGTTAACTATGGTCATCCTACAATGCTCCAGCACACTAGAACTTATTCCTCCTATCTATGTGTAATTTATGTGATAAATATGTTATGTCCCAGAAAGATGTCCTTTAATACTCGACTGTCTCCCTGTGGTTGAGGTGGTGTGTGTGGCACCAGTGTCCTGCAGTGGCCGGAACCCTGAGCAGGAGGACGAAACACTGGGC